CTCTGTCTCTCTCTGTCCCAAAAATAAATAAACGTTGAAAAAAAAAATTTTAAGTGGAATATTTCAGTAAAGAAAAACCCTCCTCAACTATTTCATTACCCTGAGATTCAGTTTTTTTAAGAAATAAAAGATTAATATTTGATTATTTTTTTTATCTACCAGCTTTCAAAATAATGGGTTGATCCTCTAGCATTATCCAAAGGATTTTTTTTTTAGAGTCAATATGGATGTATAATGTTAAACGTTGTTGGTACATTTCTCTCCATGGCAATTTTTATTCTTACTGTGCTCAAATTGTCTCATCTTTGGCCGTTGAGTGCCTCCTCAGGTTGGCTTCTGAGTTCTTTTGCCATGACTTCAGCAGTCTTTGAAAATTTTATTGCTTTCTGATATGGTATGATATTCCAAGTTCATCTGGAACAGTTCTGCTCTAAACCTGGACACATCCATTTTTCCAAAGAGCTCTTAGTATGGTAGTTAGAGACCTCAAACAGCGCACTAGAAGTGCTCGTTTCTACGTGTTAGTCACTGTTGCTAGGCCTTTTTAGGAGACAGAGGTAGGAAATAATTTATTTCTTTTTTTAAATGTTTATTGGGGCGCCTGGGTGGCGCAGCCGGTTAAGCGTCCGACTTCAGCCAGGTCACGATCTCGCGGTCCGTGAGTTCGAGCCCCGCGTCAGGCTCTGGGCTGATGGCTCAGAGCCTGGAGCCTGTTTCTGATTCTGTGTCTCCCTCTCTCTCTGCCCCTCCCCCGTTCATGCTCTGTCTCTCTCTGTCCCCAAAAAATAAATAAATGTTGAAAAAAAAAATTAAAAAATAAAAAATAAAAAATAAATGTTTATTTATGTTTGAGAAAGAGAGAAACAGAGTGTGAGCAGGGGAGGGGCAGAGAGAGAAGGAGACACGGAATCCGAAACAGGCTCCAAGCTCTGAGCTGTCAGCACAGAGCCCAACGCAGGACTCGAACTCACGAACCGCGAGATCATGGCCTGAACAGAAGTCAGCACTTAACTGACTGAGCCACCCAGGCACCCAGGAAATAATTTCTTAAAGATACAATACATTATGAGTTCATACTGGCCTTTCTAATTCAAGTTTAGAGCTATGGGCTTTTTACTTAACTTTGTTGATTGTTGATTGTTGATTGTCTCTTCTTTATCTCAAGTGTCGTGATTCTCAATGATAGCAACAAATTACTCATTTGCTCTGTTCCTTATACACACTAATCTTAGAATAGCAAACCAAGACACCCTGCAGGAATGTAATTCCTAAAACCAATTTCATGTTTTGTTGGAATTCTTCTTTTCTCCCACTTATGATATGCCATTTCAAATGTACCAATTATACATTTTTTAAAAAAAATTATGTTTCAGAGTTACTCAAAATGATTCTTCTCTGTTTGTGTCAACAATTTGATAGGGTCATCCCATTCATTTTGCCTTAGGTTTTTAGTGTTAGCTTTTCAAATTTGTTTTTTGTATTCCTTAATGTAGATATTATACACAAATATATATTGTATAAAATATAAATTTATAAATTTAATAAATTATATATAATGTATAAATGATAAATTAGATAAAATGTGTATTATGATTACATAAACTATCTGCATGGTTCAAAAGATCTTAAAGGTCTTAAATCCATAAGACAAGACATTTGGGAGAGTCAGGCTCCTATCCCTCTTTATCTACCTTGTGTAATCTCTACAAGAATCATTTTTGTTTGCTTTTGATTTATTCATACATTTAACGGATACAAAAATTATATATGATATCCATATCTGTATCGCATGTATACAGAAGATTATATATATTTATACTGCTGTTTAGATGACAGGGATATACCATACACATTTAACTTATATTTCCTGGTGTGTATGTTTTACATGCTTTATTTTTAATTGAAGTATAGTTGACATAGAATGCTATATTAGTTTCAGGTGTATTTATATACTTAACTGTGTTTCATAGAGAGTCTTTCATAATGGGATATAGAAATAGTTTTCGTGTGTGATTTCAGCTGTATAGTAAGTACTCTTGTGTATGGTGGAGCCATTGTTTATTCAACCAATTCTCTATTGAAGTATGTTTTTTATTATTGTTTTTTAGTGTTTACTATTACAGATGGTGCTGAAGTAAAAAGGCTTGTTTGTGCATATGTCTTTTCATATTGCCACCAGTTTATCTTTGGCATTGATTTCGAGAAGTAAAATTGCCGAGTTAAAGGATGGATGTGTGTATGTACTTTTGCTAGGTACATATTGCTAAATTTCTTTCCATGGAGATGGTACCAACTTGCATTTGCACCAGAAATTGTGAGAGTTGCCTGTGTCTTCATGGCCTTGTCAACAGACTATGCCGGCAAACTTTTAGAGATTTTTCTAATTAGATAGATGGGCAATGTTATATGTATATATTTATTTATTTTTTCTTTTTTAAGGGAATAACTTGACTCTTACAGAAAAGTTGCCAGAATAGTTCAAATAACTTTTTCCCTGAGCAATTTGAGAGTATGTTTCCAAACTAAGGCTCCATGACTCTTACATATTTTAGTGTGTGTTTCTCAAAGACAAGGACGTTCTCCTACATAAATGACAGTGTAGCCGTTAATATCAGGAAGTTAATATTGATATATTAATAGAAACTGATGCTCAGACCCTATTCGAATTTTCCCAGTGGTTAATAATGTTCTTAATAGAAAAGGATTTGGGATCACACAATGGTGTTGTTCAACATATCTCTTTAGTTTTCAATCTTCCCTTGATTTTCATGACTTTGATTCCTTTCACTCTGATTATTTTGTAGAAAGTCTCACAATCTGGATTTGTCTGATGTTTCCTAATAGTTACATTCAGGTTAGGCATTTTTGGCTGGATATCACAGAAGTGATGCTATGTCCTTGTTGCTTCCTCTCAAGTGCTGCGTAATTTAAATTTGTCCTATTACTGGTGATGTTAATTTGGATTACTTTGCTAAATAGTACCTGCCAGGTTTCTCCACTGTAAATTTACTCTTTTCCCCTTTGTAATTAATAAATATTTTGTTGAGAGATACTTTGAGACGATATAAATAAACTATCCTCATTAAATTTACCCACTAGTTGTAGTATCCATTGCTATTTCTTGGCTAAATTATTACTTTGATGGTTGCCAAATGGTGATTTTCTAATTTTATCTTTTCTCCTACATTAATTGTAATGTTACTGTAGGAAAACACTATCTTTCTCCTCATTTATTCATCCATGTGCTTATATCATATGGACTCATGAATTCCTATTTTATTTGATGGGTTATAGTTCATTTATCTTTATTTACTGTGATGCTCAAATTGTTACACATTTAGGCAGTGAAAGCCTGTTAAATTGGTTGTGATGTTTTTTCTTTCTCCGTATTTCCTTCAGCAACAAAATGTTCTAGCTTAAATGATACTTTTCTTGGCCCAGCCTTATAATCAGCCATTTCCTTAAGGAACAACGATTCTTTCTGGGGAGAGGAATAGAATTTAGAAACCAAAATTTGGGCACTAGATATGCACATTATTATTGGGGTTTCACTGCTCCCAGGCCCTCTCAGAGAACAGAATTAGTGAATATATGTATATCAAAAGATAAGCAAACGTATTTTATATATACGTGTTCTTACATACACATACATTTACATCTATATTATTTCCCTATTTATCTACTGAAAACTGTCAGTTTCCATTGTTGTCTCTAATTCTAATCTAATACCAAAGAGTTTATTCTAGGTTTATTGCCATCTATATTTGTAAGTTCCTTTCTTTATGAGAAACCTGACTCCTATTAGCCTCATTATATCTACTTATTCTATCAATCCCTGCTGAGCGGAGCCCAACATCCATCATTACTGATGCCCTCCCCTACTTCCATGTAGACCCCTTTTTCACCCTTCTTGGATTCCAACATCCCACACCAGGCCACTGTCACCAATGTGGCCCTTCTCTCCCTCCTTGGGCTCTGACACCCTGCACCAGGTCATGTAAACACCTGTCCATTCTGCTTAGGCTCCAAAACTGGCAGCAGGCTGCCCCCACACCCCACTCCACCCAACCTTCTGCAAGAATGCCTATCTTATTTAACCCCTCTAGCTTTGGGATTGAGTAAGGAAGGAAAAAAGTAAAAGAAAGCAGACGGGAGGAAAGGAAGGAAGGTAGGTAGGAGGGAAGGAACTTTCATTTTTTAAATTATGAGTAAGAATGAGATCTCTTCAAATGTTTAGCATGCCATTTGCATTGTGCGTATGCCTCTGTCTGTATGTGTGTGTATGTGTATGTGTGTGTGTGTGTGCATGTATGAACTGTTAACATCTCTAGCAATTTTGCTATAGTCATTTGCTGTACATCTCTTTTTTCAGGAATTTTTTATATATTAGGAATATTGATCTTTTGTAATGTACTGTAAATTTGAAATACGTTTTCTAAATTTGTCTTTAGGTTTTTTCTCTGTTTTCATTTTATGCAATTTATTACTTTTTTCTCTTATTGTTCTCAGATTTTGAATCAACATTGAGGAATAGTTTCCTTTTTTAAAAATATAATTATTCTCAAGTTAGCTAACATACAGTGTATATAGTGTGCTCTTGGCTTCAGAAGTAGATTCCCACGATTCATTGCTTACATACAACACCCAGCCCATTCCAACAAATGCCCTTCTCAATGCTTATCACCCACTTCCCCTCTCCCCTACCCCCCATCAACCCTCAGTTTGTTCTCTGTATTTAAGAGTCCCTTATGGTTTGCCTCTCTCACTGTTTGAAACTATTTTTCCCCTTCCCTTCCCCCACGGTCTTCTGTTAAGTTTCTCATATTCCACCTATGAGTGAAAACATGATATCTGTCTTTCTCTGCCTGACATTTCGCTGAGCAAAATACCCTCCAGTTCCATCCACGTTGCTTTTTCATTGATTTCCAATTGAGCTAGATGTTGGACTACATTGTTGTGAGAAAAAAATCTGACTTGACTCTGCCATCTCACACTTTCAGCTGGAGTCCAAGAGCTGGAATCACGCTTCCTGGTACCCGGAGATCTATTAATTTTGACGGGGAACAAAGTGCAAATGCCATGCGATGCCATCCTGATTGATGGCAGCTGTGTGGTAGATGAAGGCATGCTGACAGGTACGGTTCTGTCTCACGACTTACAGCCTTGGCAAGCTCTCCCAGGTTCCTTCTCTATCAGAACAACCGTGGCAAAGCTGGGGCTTGCTGTGGGATATTACACTCCCACAATTCTCACTTGACTGTCCTGCTCTGGATGGGAGAGTTCAAATTAAAGCTGCTTTCTGGGTCCTAAGTTTGATACAGTTGTAATTTTCTGAGTGCTTAGCATTTTCTTCTTGAACAAAGGTTATTGCAACCCTGTCGCTTTACCTTAGAAGACTGTAGAGATCATTAGACATTTCAAATCATCTGTGACTTTTATGTTCAGCATTTTCATATAAATTATATCTTTTGATAAACTTGGAAGATGTGAAAGCTATTGATGACATCCTGAAACCCAGAAGGTCAAGTCCAAGCTCTTCCCTGCCTTGGCTTGAATACGTGAAAAGGTTCACGACAAAGGATTTGTCACACATCTGCTGCCTGAAAACACACTGGGACTTTAGGACTAATTGAATTTCATTTTTAAGTAGTATGCTGCTAGAGCAGGGAGGGACCTTAGAGGTCACTGCATCTCATGGATATGGAAGCTGAGGTCCAGAGAGAAGAGACCTTGAGATCACAGTGCTTCGAGTTCTCACGAGTGCACATTTGAGGAGATGTTGTGCCAACATTTCTCTAAGATAAAGAAGAATCATAAAGTTTTTTTCACAGATGGACTAGGGGGCTGAGAAGACACATTGACATACTGTGGTTCCCACTGAAGCCAAAATTGAATCCATTTCTCTAGGACAGACCAGGAAGGCATGAAATGGAGACAAGAACATGTATCTTTCTTCTATGTAACTTTACCAAAAAATTTTTTTATTTTTTTATTAAAAAATGTTTTTTTAATGTTTATTTATTTTTGGAGACAGAGAGACACAGAGCATGAACAGGGAGGAGCAGAGAGAGAGGGAGACACAGAGTCGGAAACAGTCTCCAGTCTCTGAGCTGTCAGCACAGAGCCCAACGTGGGGCCCGAACTCACGAACTGTGAGATCATGACCTGAGCCAAAGTCAGACACTCAACCGACTGAGCCACCCAGGCATATGGTCTCCCCCCACCGCAATTTTTTTAATGCGTGGCAGGCCATGTTTCTTCATATAAGGAATCCGTAGATTTGTAAAATTCCTTTAGTGCTGGGACCTCAGCAATGCTAAGTACTTTTCTTCTGGCAAAAAGTGGCCCTACTACAGTGGGACATATCTCTGACTTTGTACTGCCCACTTTTCAAAGGCCAGTGGAAGGCTTTACAAGGTTTATTCCACAGATCAGACCCTAATTGCTTCCTCAACGTCATTCACCACCCTGTATTAGCACTTCAGCCCACTGCCATCTGCTCCTTCCATGTCACTGGCAGCAGTCACCCATGTCCCAATTGCCAAACCCAATGGATTCCTTAGATTTCTCTTCTTGTTGACCTCTCTGCTGCTTTTGATGATTCTGACCATCTTTCCCTTTGGAAAACTCTCTTCTCCCTAACTGTCCAAGATAGCGCCATGTCCCATGCTGCTCCTGATTGTTGGTAGTGCTCAGAGCTATGTCCTAGTCCTATCCCCTTCTATCCTCACTCTTGGTCCCTCAGTAATCTTCTATCTCCTGTGACTTTAATCATAGCCTGTAAGGTGGTGAACTTTGACTAAATGTCTCTGGTCTAGGCTTCTCCCTTGAACTCCAGACTTAAATAAATAAATAAATAAATGCAAGATGTCTCAACATAGCCATTCCACAAGACATCTCCAACTCATGGTGAACATAAAGCAACTCTTCCTTCCTCCTATAATCCCTGTGTTGATGACTAATGCCACCCTCTGCTCATTTCCCCAAGTTGGAAACCAAGAAGCCATTTTGAATTTCTCTGTTCCTATGACCTCCCAATATAAAATTCTCCCCAAGTTTTGTAACTTCTTACCTTATTTCTCAGCTCCCGGACTTCCTTTTACTCTCACTGCCTGCTGCCATAAGTCAGACCTTGTTCTCTCCATCTGGATGTCCAGCTTCCAACCTCACCAGACTTCAATCCATTCCCTGTACTGCAGATAGAGTACTCTCTCTCTTGTACATGAATATGATATTACTCTCCTGAATAAAACACTTAAATATCTCCCTACTCCCTTCTGCCACTAATGCCTACAAAAATCATGTAAACACTTAAATATGTGCACCTAGGGCCTCCCTGCTTTGGTTTCCTGCACAGGTCTCATGGCCCCTCATTCCCCATGCCCCACATTCTGGACCTCACAACTTGCTATTCTAGCAAGGCTATTTCTAGCCTTCTTTAATGTCCGTGTTGGATGTTACAATACTTATAGTATTTATAATACCACATTATTCTTATTTATTGGGACTACAAATCTCCTAAAAAACAATCTCCTTGTATCCCTAATACCTAGGGTTGTCCCTGCCACCCCCTGCAGGCTTATAACAAACATCCACCGCATGCCTAGTGAGTGCATACGTGATTTAAATGAGATGTTTGTTTTCTATAGGAGAAAGTATTCCAGTCACTAAAACTCCATTGCCCAAGATGGAGAGCTCCATGCCCTGGAAAACGCAGAGTGAAACCGATTATAAAAGGCATGTTCTTTTCTGTGGGACAGAGGTTATGCAAGCCAAGGGAGCGTGCTCCGGGACCGTGAGGGCGGTGGTGCTACAGACTGGTGAGTGAGCGTCCCTTCTTTGGTTTGTTACTTTAATGAAATATTTTTGCTCAGTGTGTCTAGTGCCTGAAATCTATTAGGTAAGCAATAGTCTTTCGATAACAAGCCAAACCTATTAAAGTTCCATATTTCAAGTGTGAATTGCACTATGGCACATACCTTTTAGTCAACAAAATACCGATGACAATAATTACTATTAACGTGTTTTGTAGTTTAGAAACTATCTCTATATATCAAACCTGCACAGCAAAGATGCTTGTTCCCACTTCATACATAAATAGGCTGAGGTCAGCACAATCTGAACAAACTTAAAAAAAAAAAAAAATCACATAGTCACTGACAGACCTGGGTCTAGAATTTAGATCTTTTAGCCCCAAATCCCAAGTTTTTTCTAGCCAGGGTTAGAAATTGAAAACTTGAGGGGCTCCTGGGTGGCTCAGTCGGTTAAGCGTCCAACTTCAGCTCAGGTCATGATCTCACGGTTCTTGGGTTCGAGCCCCGCATTGGGTTCTGTGCTAACAGCTCGGAGCCTGGAGCCTGTTTCGGATTCTGTGTCTCCCTCTCTCTCTGCCCCTCCCCCACTCGTGCTCTGTCTCCCTCTGTCTCAAAAATAAACATTAAAAAATTTTTAAAAAAGAAATTGAAAACTTGACACTGAAAAGTATTAGAAATTAAGTCCATCAGTATTTACTGGGTCCTATGGTTTAATTTCAAGTAACGTGTGTGTGTGTATGTGTGTGTGTGAGTCATTTCCTTAAAATGAAGTTATACTGGGCAAGGCTGTGTTCTGATCTCAGTGTGGTGGTTTCCTATCTCTGGGTCGCATTGATTTTGAAAGTAGAGAGAAGAAAGATCAGAAGGGAATAGGCTCTGAAAAAGTAAGATATTTCCATTGTAGCACTCAGGTGTCTTCCCAATTATCCTTTGTGTTTGGGTTTAAGCACTGTTGAAATATCTCTAGAGAAAAACAAAGGCCATGTTGAGGCTTAGAAGCGTGCTAGTAGTAGGATTTGTCATCCTAAGAATGTGGATTGTGTGTTTGTTACTTCAGGATTCAACACTGCAAAAGGGGACCTCGTGAGATCCATTCTGTACCCGAAGCCAATGAATTTTAAGCTTTACAGGGATGCCATCAGGTTCCTCCTGTGCCTTGTAGGGACAGCAACCATTGGGATGATCTATACTTTGTGCGTCTATGTGCTCAGCGGGGTAAGTTGCTTTTGTTCTTTTACTACATGCACACGTAACACTCATGGAGGTATAATTTATACTCTGCGTGTTAACCTTAATCTCAGCCATGGTTTGTAAACCTGGGAAACAAAGCCAAACGCTGATACCTGCACATGTACTCACAGTTCGCCAATATGAGAGATTGATCCCCAAGTAATACTATAACAATCAGAACTAGAGGGGCAAAACGCTGTTTCCTGAGCTACCAACAGTGCCTCTCATCTTGTACACTTCTTACACCATTTTTTCCTTTTCGATCTGAGAATATGTTTATCCCAGTAACGTACTTTTTGGCGTTATTAAATAAGGAGCTGAAAACAAAACCTGGATACCCCATGTTGGTGAGGCCATGACAAATTTGTACATTGTTCTCTGCTGGTAGCAGCAATGAATCATTACAAACTGTTTCATTGCACTTTGGAAAATCTATGAGAGCCATAAACCGTGCATACTTTTTGACCCACTCAAATCATTTCTGGGAATCTGACCTAAGGGAGTAAACAAAAAGAGGAAAAAAGTCATATGCACCAAGCTCTTCAGGACTGATTTACCTGTAATAGCTGCAGAGTGACTTTATGTCCCAGGAGCCTCCAGAGGAGGTGGTGAAGAAAGCCCTTGATGTCATCACAATTGCGGTCCCTCCTGCTCTACCTGCTGCTCTGACCACAGGCATTATCTATGCCCAGAAGAGGCTGAAGAAGAGAGGCATCTTTTGCATCAGCCCCCAGAGGATCAATGTATGTGGACAATTAAACCTTGTCTGCTTTGACAAGGTATGTGTGTTTCACCCTCATTATCATTGCCATTTTTATCATCGTTGTCATCGGGTAGAGGCGCTTCACACTTTTCTGGGGCAGGAAACACAGGATGTGTTATCTGCCTTCCTTTTATCTCTGGTTGGATGTGTAATATAGGAAAGGCACAACTCTTGAGCTTCCAGATTCTGGGGTTTAGAAGAGGGAGAGGAGGTACTGAATAAGCGGGTCTTTGAAAGTCCTTCCAGCTCTAGTATTTTCTAAAACACAGTTAATTAAGGTAGCATTCTGTCCCTCCCCAGACAAAACCACATACAAGGAACAAAACTTAAACCCTTCACTATGGTCCCTGCTTGACCACTACCATGGTCAAGAATATTGCCTAGCTTATAGTCAGTGCCCAATAAATATTTATTGGTTTAATAATGAATAAATAATTAATGAATAATAATAAACAGTGATTAATAATAATGAATAATGCATAATGATGAATAAATAATAATTAATCATAATAAATAATGAATGAATAAAAAAGGGAAGAATTTATTTAACTGTATTTTACTTGGGCAGTTGCTCTTGGCTATAGGAAAGCTCCCATCAAATCCTTACTGTATTTTCCCATCTGTAGTATATTGCTTAAAATTATTCTTGACTATATGCCAGTTATTCCCAACCAGCCTCTTATTCTACCTCCTCCTGAATATATTCTTTGGGTCTGGTGTCTGCCTATACTGAGTGAGGGGAGGGGCTGTGAGAGGGTAAGGCAGGGATGGTGGGCTGTTTTGTGTCCAGGTCTTCATTTATAAAGGGGATTGGTGACTGCAGAGAGAGGTCAATGCCTTTGAAAGAAGTTTAACATTACAGTTTTCCTGGTAAGGAAAGGCACAGTCCTGTGGGCCATGGGAGGAATGGCAAGTTTGGATAAGGGATCTAAGGAAATGCCTAGACCAGGTCCTTTACTGGGGCCTCTATGGGGAAGGCAAGTCAGGGCAGGGTAAACAGCTTATGACTGGCTAGTTTGAACGATTTGGGTGAGCTTTGGGCTGCAGGGTGGTCTCTGGCCCTTGGCCCCAGGATGATGAAGGCAGAGGACTATTGCCTCCTGAGGAGTAGGGGCCAGGTAGATGATTAGTTTGCATGTCAAAGGCACGCAGAGTCCCTTACTATCTCTAAGAATTGGCTAGCCCAGGAGATGGAGTCTTTCCTTAGAAAGGTTTTTTAAGATGTCAAATCATCATAATATATAGAAAATTAATACAACACAAGGGTATAATAGGCAGGTGAATATGGGCAAATGAGTGAACTTAGGAAAGCAATAGAGCCGGTGGTTTTGACCAGAGCAAGACGTCAGTAATGGGAGAGGTTTGTACACCTTTGCTATCTGGCTAAGACATTTGTACATACCTTCCAGGCAGTGCCGAACCTTTGAAAGTGGTTTTTGGTTCTGTTTATGCTTTTTCAATAGTTGTTCTCCTTTTTCTTACTTTTGTTGTGGCAAAATGAACATTCCATAAAATTTACCGTTTTAACCATCTTTAAGTGGCTTTAAGTGCGCTTACATTGTTGCGCAATCATCACCGCCATCCATCTTGAGAATTGTTCTATCTTCCCAAATGGAAACCCTGTGTCCATTAAACAGGACATTGAAGTTCTTGAGGACAGAAAAGTAATAGGATCAGAGTTATATTACGTGGTTACTGGACTATCAGCGAGACCTACCACGATCAGAAGGCTAACATGGCTCTTGCCAGCATTTCTGAATTATTTTGTGATCCAATTAGCATAACAAAGAAGAATGTTCTATTTGTGGGGTCATCTCTCCCTGCACTTGGCAAAAGAAGCAGGGGTGGGACAAATCATTATGACATGAATTTGCATAAAATAAGTAATAATTAGGGGTAATTATCATAATTTGCTCTTACTCTGTGTCAGACATTAAATCAAGCACTTTATTTGTATTATCTAATTTGAAGTTCACAATAACCTCATCCGATTATAAGCACATTGTACAGGGAAGGGCTCCGAGGTTCAGAGGGATTAAATAACTCTCCCAGGTCATACAGCTAGTGTTTTAAACGAGTCCAAGCTCTTCATCATTATCCTGTACGGAGAGAAATACCAAAAAGCACCCTCTTTTACCTAACAGGTGTCAAAAAGAGCAAACCACCTGTTTAGAGCAGGGAAAAAGTCTACTCCCATTACTTATTTCTGATGACATACTTTAATCTTCTGCTGTAAAACCTGGGACTCACCCATTTTATAGCTCTTACAGGCTTACCAAGACTTTCCCATTAGATCCTCACAACCAGCCTCTGAAGTCTGTAAGACAGATACAGTTTTCTTCCTTTATCGCCAGCTTGGTGGTACAACTGGTAGGAGCCGTCCAAGCTTCTGCCGAGGACCCCAGGATTCCCACCTGACTGTGTCCTTCCTTGAGGTGCTGATTTTAGTAACGTGTTTGTGACATGTATTTTCCTGTTAAAACATACCTTAGGGGCTGTCGCTTCAGAGTAAACCGAGCCCTCGTTTCTGTTTAGACAGGCACCTTAACAAGGGATGGTTTGGATCTCTGGGGAGCCGTGCCCTGCGATAGGAGTGGGTGAGTACCTGGGACTGAATGCACTGGAGTTTCTCTTTTCCCAGAGAAAATACTCTGCATTTTCTCCTGAAAATTAATAATGAAGACATTTTGGCTTCAGAGCAGTCGGTTGCCAGAGTGCCTTCATGTAATGTCTCTTTGGAGCACTTCCAAGTCTTACTGAAACATGCATAGCTCCCTACACCCTATCCCCTGCCCCATTCCACTCGCAAACCTAGGAGACAGAGGGGTTTCGCGTCTTTGCTAAGATGTGATTTGTAGAACCATTTTTACATTTTTTTTTAATGTTTATTTATTTTTGAGCAAGCAAGAGGGAGAGAGGGAGAGAGAGAGAGAGCAGGGGAAGGGCAGAGAGAGGGAGACACAGAATCCAAAGAAGGCTCCAGGCTCTAAGCTGTCAGCACAGAGCCCGAGATCATGAACTGAGCCAAAGTCAGATGCTTAACCAACTAAGCCACCCAGGCACCCTGCAAAAAAATCTTAAAACTGTAATTTGCTGTCAGCATATTAGTGAGGGGCCTGAAGTTGACCCAGTGTACCTGATTTGGAGAATACCAGGACACGGTCCCTCAGGGAGGTAACATTCCTTCTACAAACTGAAGCCTTTCAGTTTGCCTGGAAGGAGAACACTGCACTGACTTGTGCACAGTGAGTTTCAGGAAGAGCAGCAACCGTGAACCCGTAGCTAATGCACTCATTTTCCTTGGTATTGCAGTTTTGGAAACTCCACCTTTTGGGTGCAGGGCAACTCCTCCTTTCTGGCCAGAAAAGACTCGGTTTTTGGCAATTTTCAGCTTGGGGTGGTATGATTTGCATTGCTCTCTTGTGGGCCCTCTTGTGGGCATGTCTGACATTGCACCCCCCCGCCCCCCCGCTTTTTCTGGTCACTACCTCCACTTGCGAACAGAACATGAACCGTCTGACTTTTACATTTTTTTTAATTTTTTTTTTTGCAACGTTTATTTTTATTTTTGGGACAGAGACAGAGCATGAACGGTGGAGGGGCAGAGAGAGAGGGAGACACAGAATCGGAAACAGGCTCCAGGCTCTGAGCCTTCAGCCCAGAGCTTGAAGCGGGGCTCGAACTCCCGGACCGCGAGATCGTGACCTGGCTGAAGTCGGACGCTTAACCGACTGCGCCACCCAGGCGCCCCTACATTTTTTTTTTTAATGAAAGTATTTCCCCGGTATCCTCACATCCTCCATCACAAAAGCATATAATACATAAAGGGTACATTGTGGTTCTACTTATATGCAGGTGACCTGTAATTTATCCACAAAATATTTTAATTACATGTGTGTAATACAGTTTCATATGAAAATATTATTTATAAGCAAGTCTATTTCCTGGGTTAACAAATAGATCCCAGTGCTTCTAACCACTTTGGTACACAGGAGAAACCTCTTATAAATATTAAACGTTCTCAAGTTCTTTTCATTTTGTCTCAAACTTAGATTTAGATATAGATCTTTGTATATTTCCACTTCAGCTTCCACAAAAAATGTATGTATTTGTTCAAATACGTGAGCATCCTGAGAGTGGTCGGTCTTTTGTTTATATTTGTGTTCCTAGTGCCATAGCACTATACCAGGCACATGGGCACACACAATAGGTGCCCAGCAAATGTTTAATTAAAATGAACTTACTATGTTCCACCTTTTTTTTTTTTTATGTTCCATCTTTTGAATGCTTTTCCATTTATTGAATTCAGGCATCCTCTTGTTCACAAAACTTTCTATTTCTAAAAGTAACCTGTCAGGGGCGCCTGGGTGGCTCAGTCGGTTAAGCGGCCGACTTCAACTCAGGTCGTGATCTCGCGGTCCGTGAGTTCGAGCCCCGCCTCGGGCTCTGTGCTGATAGCTCAGAGCCTGGAGCCTGCTTCTGTTTCTGTGTCTCCCTCTCTCTCTGCGCCTGCCCCGTCCGCGCTCTGTCTCTCTCTGCCTTTCAAAAATGAATAAATGTTTAAAAAATTAAATAAATAAATAAGTAAAAGTAACTTGTCAAATAGAAATAAAATCATTGATACAATGTTTAAGTTATTGATTGATTAATTAAGCCTGCTACTCTTGCTTCCTAAAAGGGAAATTTAAAATTTGAAAAGAAAGATAACATCAGAGAAAACCTACTCAATACTAGGTAGAAGTCAGCATCTGACTTACAGACTATTAAATATCTTCTTGTAAAAGGTAAGCTCATCTTTAATAATTCTTTTCCAAAAAGTCCTGCCCAATGTGCCAGATACTTCAAGAACCATTAGAAGGCCACCTGGGCTACTTGAGCAGGATCAATCATAAACATTCAAATAAAAATACAAGGACAAGGATGAGAGAGAGTTTATTTGTTATACAAACAAGAGTTTGGCCCAGTCCCCAGGAACTCAGAATTATATATTCAAAATTACGTAGCAATTACAATACGTGTGCCATCTTAATAATAAGATTTTTTTCCCTTAATCTGTGTTTGCTTTTCAGTGTGAGCTTAAGCATCTGTGTTAATCACGCTGCTGGTGATTGCTTAATGTGTACTAAAATACTGGGGGACGTGTTGGAAACCACTAAGACAACTTGAACTACTGATATATAATAATAAATATAATCAACAGGGTCAGTAGTAATCAGCCAAGAGGTTTTTGAACTTGTAGGGAAACTTGAATGAGGAAGACAGGAAGAAATACGCCTGGATTATGAGTTAGCTCTGTGATGGGGAGGCTTTCAGGAATAAAAGGCTAGAGCAAACTAAGGCCATATTTAAAGAAATTCAGTGTCCATATCATGGGAAATAATCTGATCCTGGAGAACATGTTTTAAGACAAAATGTGACACATAAAAACTTTTCCAGTAATGAGTAATTAGGGTGGTAGAGAGGTCTGGAAACTGCACATTGGAGGCACAGCTAGAGGTCCTACGGTAACCCCAGAGGAAGAAGAGATAATAGGGCCACAGCTGAGCTGGTCCACAAATCTGAAACAAGAGCATGTAGACTCTGGCCCCTTGGAAGCACCTGCCCCTCTGAGGTCCCCCACGTAGGATGGGCTGCTTTGTGGACCACCTACGGTACTCCACGTGTAAGACATGACAGCAAGGCTTCAAAGGACATGCATCTAGTGAACCTGAGGCCACACTTGGTGACTTCATCTCTGACTTAGTGAAAGAACCCTGCATGTGACAATTGGAGTTGTACCTCAGTAGGTTTTAGACGAGGCTACTTTCTATAAAAAAATGATGGTGATGATGGACGCTAGATGTCAGGATGGAAGAGGGGGACACAATGTCTTTTTCAAAAATGCTTTTTTTTAAGTTCTTTGTCATTAAAGTCTTTCGGTTTTCCAGTAACTAACTCATTCATTTATTCACTCATACATTTGTTGAGTATCTGCTGTGGGCCAAACATCAGATATGTTGGAGAGAAAGATGGAAAAATGTATGCCTGCCCCGAAGGGTTGAGTGAAGGAGATGCACATATACACACACAGCCATACAATGAGCTAGCCTGTGCTTCTCACCGCATTGGAAATGAAGTGGTCTGGTAGTTGGGGTGGTAGTGGATGTGTTTCAAACTAAGGGTGATACTTCTAGTTTTTTCTATACCTCTGGGATTAAATCAGTGCCAGCGAAAGAGCAAGGAAAAGAAAGAGTTTGAGACAAACCTCAAACACCTTTCTCACGCTTGCTGAATTTATAGAAGAATAACGGCTAAAAAAAGCATGATTAATTTGGGGGCATTAGAAGATGCATGCCATCTTGCATGCCATTAGAAGATGCATGCCATTAGAAGATGCATGCTGCAGTAATTTTTCAACAGATATTTACTTCCACAAGCTCCATTTGAGCATGGATGGATAGACTGAAGGCCCTTCCCTTTTCTCCTTCAGGTTCCAGGAAGTCCACAGCTTTGTGTCCGGCAGGTCTTTGCCATGGGGCCCGCTGTGTGCGGCCATGGCCAGCTGCCACTCTCTGATTCTTCTTGATGGGACCATCCAGGGAGATCCTCTGGATCTCAAGATGTTTGAAGCCACCACCTGGGTAAGATCCCACTCTGCAGAGAACCTAAGAAGCTTCTTCAATGCCAGAGCAACACAGATTTTATCGTATTCAATACTTTCAATATAGAGGTCCATGCAGTAGTGATGGACAAACTAATCTAAGTCTGTTTTCCTCATCTGTACAATTTAACTAATACCAGTATCTCCATTGTGGAGTTATTATGAGGATAAATGGAATGATGCATTTAAAAACAAATCCCTGATAATGTGCCTGGGACATTGTCGGTTAACCATATTTATACAATTATTCTATATCTTCCAACTCTTGAGACAACATAATTGCTGTATAATTTTTTCCAACTTTTGAGCAATGTCTGGCTGTAAAGTTTTCTAGAACATGGGGATTAAGAAACAGCACTGTCTCCAATGCTTAGGATAACTCATTGTTACCAAAAGTTTTATTCCTATTAATTGAATATTGACTTTGTTTCTAAGACTGGAAGAAATAAAAAGGGAAACCGTGAAAGAGCTTTGTTGAGATTTTGCAGTAGATTTAAGAGCAAAATTTATAGTTCAGGACCAGGTCTCTGGTTTCCCGGTTCCAGATTTGGCTCTGCTCTGACTGCTTGACCCTGTGAAGGCATCCCTCTTGTTAAAGTGTTGGCTCCCATGACCTTAAAGCAAAAGGGTTTGCATTAGATCAGCAGTGTTCATATAAAACAAGCAAACAAAATGAAATAACAGAGCTGGAATCTTTTCTCCAAAGGAAACCTATTCAGAAACATTCTATTAAAAAACCAACAGTTGGAGTTGCTGTGGTTGACATAGAAGATAGACCCTGTGTAGTACAGGAAACGCTCGCCACAAGCCCACTCCTACTCCCGCAAGCCCTGTGCAGTTCTAGGCCTCAGTGATCCCCGCGTGCTACCCTGCTAAAGGAGACAGTCTCTAGGGTCCCTTCCAGCGCTAGTGGGATATGGCTCTGTAGCAGTCTGATGTCATTCTGCCAGTCCCCCCATTTCTTCTGGGTTACTGTTTTTCTGTATAAGTAGGAATTACAATTTCCTTTCTGAGATTTTTTTCAGCTGTTGGATGATATGATTACAAAGCATTTTGACATCTTTGGGTAAAAGGTTCCTTTGACTATAATTTAGGGTTATTATTACACCAATTACTGAGCGTTTACTGAACACTAGCCACGTACATCACAGTCCCTGCCCTGCCTGGCCCTGAGGACTATCGATTCAAATTAGACAGAGAAGGAAGGGTGGGAACAGTGTCGAACTCCGGGAAAACAAAGACAGTATGGTGCTTGCCTCACACAAGCCTGCCTCTTCATGCTCACTATTTTCAAGTTAAGCTTTTCAGAAGCGGAGAATGAACCTTTATGCAGCACATTCCAACAGAGAAAGCAGGATAAATTGCATGAATAATTCAGAGGTGTCTGCCTTGCAAGTTCTGTGGCATTTCCAATGCACTCGGAGCCCCCCCCCCACCCCGGCCCCGTGGCGAAATAAGTCTGGTTCACCTCCATCTGAATGAGGGAGGTGACACTGAGAATACATCAAGGTGGCCTGAGGATTTTCTCAAAGAGGGGGTTTGAGCGTGGTATCAGTGGACGAATAAGAACTAAATCTCTACAAAGAAATATCCCATTTGTGAAACAGGAGATGGCGGTTTCTGGGGACGATTTCCACATCAAGGGAGTGCCAGCACATGCCATGGTGGTTAAGCCCTGCAAAACAGCCAGCCAGGTAAGCCTTGCCTGCTATCCGCCCCCAAATGCCCAGACTCAAAGGGAAATTTTTGAAGGGAAAATTTTGAAGACAGACGTGTCTTCTTTGAATTCCATAGGTGAAAATTGCTAAGACCTTGCTTCCCGTATTTGCTAAAATAAGAATTGAGGGAGTAGTGAACTCTGACTAGCTAGAAGCTATGTTGGTATGTCCCTCTCCATTCCCCCTCCCTCAACCAGGTCCCGGTGGAAGGAATTGCAATCCTGCATCTGTTCCCATTCTCATCAGCACTGCAGAGGATGACAGTCATTGTCCAAGAGATGGGGGGTGACCGGCTGGCATTCATGAAAGGTGCACCGGAAAGGGTGGCCAGCTTTTGCCAACCTGAGACAGGTAAGCGAATAGACTTGTGATTCAACAGACGGATCTGTTATTTCCAGCCCAAATGTGTCCCATCAGCACATGATCTATAAATTTAATTGCCTACTGGCCGTTGCCAATTCGGTAACCCAACTGGCATCCCAAACTCAATACTTCTCTTTCTCACTTCCTGTCTTTTCCATCTTGGTGAATGGTATTACGAATTTCTGCCGCTACTCCCAATTTAGGACTCGGCCCTGATTCCTCCCTCTCTTTCAGAGCCTCTATTTTATCAATTGCTAACCCATGGCCCTCTCATTCCATCCACCCAGACCCTCATCACCTTTCCCCTGGATCACTTCAATGTTTGGTGAATCCTGGTCCCAGGTTCCCCTACTCTGATTCACCCTTCATACTGTGGCCAGATAGGTTTTTCCACCACATAGTATAACCGTGTTGTCACTTTCTTGCTGCTATTCTTCCGGTCACTTCCCATAGGTTCCAGGATAGTCTCAGACTCCTTTAGGATCACACATAAGTCCTTCATGATCTGGATCCTATCACACTTTCCAGATATGCCTTGCCACTCCTATCCTCTCTCCTCATGCTTCCCCCGAGCTGAACTCACTACTCAAGTCTTGCTGTCTTGTGTCTCTATGTTTGAGCATATGATGCTCCCTTGGCCGAAATGCCTTTCCCTTCCTTCATCTACCCACTTCCCGCCAGTATGATACAAGCACCTCGAAATGTTTCTATAGCACACAGCAATTGCTTAGATCTCATTACACTGGCAATGATCTCATTCCACTGGTTGTTACTAACCCGACAGAGATCTTTAAAGCAGGGTCTGCCGTTCAGTCTCTGTAGAGCCAATATCTGACACATACATGGTAAGTAGACTCTCAATGAATGCTTGCTGGTCAAACTGGAGAAAAAAGAATTACACACGTTTCCCATCTTTTTTTCTTTTTTCTTTTTTTGTCCTGCTTTTTTCTCATTTCAGCTTCACTGGATCCCAACCCTGACAGTATAATTACATCTAGGGTTCTCACTGACTTATTTGTGTATCTTTTACGAGGTGTGTTTTCTTGGGAAAGAGTTGGATCTGTTTGTTAAGAATTTGTCCACCGGTACCAGCGGAATAAATGTTGCATACTAATCTTGCCTTATTTTCTGAACAGTACCAACTAGTTTTGTTAGTGAACTTCAGATTTACACGACACAGGGCTTCCGGGTCATAGCACTGGCCTACAAGAAGCTAGAAATGGATCATCACACCACTGCCTTCACCAGGTAAGTAGGGAGGATTTGATAAAGCAGAATGGGTTGCTGGGCAGTGGACTGGGCGGTGGACTGAACAACACAGCTTGCTGGATTGGTGTGCATAAAATGTCTCTGAACTTGGTAAACAGGGATATAGTCATCCCTGTCCTGCCTCAGCCACAAAGCTGATGTGAACAGTGGGAGAATTTCTGAGAAAAAACTGTATAAACTATAAAATAGGACATCATTGTACAGCTTTGTAAAAATAGACATAGGAAATTAACCAACGTTTCAGAGAGTTTGAAATGGTGGTGACGACCCCGTTTTGAAACAAATACAAGTAGCTCATTTTTTGTTAGAGTTAGCAAATTAGTTGCTAGAAAACATAACATCTGTCTGAAAAACAATTGATAAATTTGCAACTTAATGAAACAAATGAACAGAGCTTAGACTTACACAGAATCAGAAGAGCCATTCAGGAGGTAGTTTTGAGATGTAAAAGAGGTGCCTAAAAACTAAAATGGACTCAAGTATTTATGCGCTCAAATGTGTTGTTGTATTTTCCACCATTTATAGGCTACCTTGTTTATTTCACCTTCACTGCCATGTCCAATACCAATGCTGACCTCCGTGTCAGCTTCTGGGGGTAACACTGCTGTGGAGATAATCAGGACTTACTTTGTTATTTTGGATCTTGAATTTGGGAGGTCTAACATACTTGTGTTCAAGCCTATCAGATTCAACACTCCTATTGTCATTATATTTTGTACCACTTCCTTTAAAATAAAATTCATATGTAATTTGATCGGCACGTATTTTCTATAAAAATTGGGGCGTCTGAGTGGCTCAGTTGGTTGGGTGTCCAACTTCGGCTCAGGTCATGATCTCACGGTTTGTGGGTTCAAGCCCCGCATCGGACTCTGTGCTGACAGCTCGGAGCCTGGGGCCTGCTTCGGATTCTGTGTCTCCCTCTCTTTCTGGCCCTCACTGACTCATACTCTGTCTCTCTCTGTCTCTCAAAAATAAATAAAAATGTAAAATAAATAAATAAATAAAAATAAAAAAAAAAGAAATAAAGACCATGCCCTGTTATATAGTAAACATAGAAGCAAACGTGCAATTCATGACAAAAAGTCATATTTCAGTGAATGCTCAGCTGACTCCACTAAATCTAAATGAAACGATATGTTGCTTGCCCCTGTGTGCGGAATCACTGTGCAGACTGATACAGGTGCATTTACATATCGGAGTTGCAAATACTGCCAGCAGTCTTGCTTGCTGTCAGCGAGGTGACTCTGAAATGGTTACAAACACTTGGTAAAACTGAATCAAACAGTACAATCTCTTCTCACTTTACATGGCAGTTACATTTCTGAAAAATTCAATAGAATATCAAAAGTGTGCAAAAAATACTTTGTGTTTATATGTAAAACACAGCACGGGGGAAGTATAACAATTTATATTTGTTTAATATAATATTAGTAGTATTAGATATGCTATAATAACACAGTATACCATATAGTATAATAATAGTACATTATAAACAGTATAAGCCAGTACTGAAAGTATAAATGATTTTTTAATGTCCATGAATGGATGACCTGTAAAATATTCAAGAGGCATGTGAGATGCAGGGGAATTCTTCATGGTGCATTGGTCATTGCAGGAAATCTTGCTTGGATGCCTACAAGGTTTCCAAAATGCCTTCTAGAGGCAGCGCCTCTCCTGCTGAAAACCACCAACAGGGTCCAACTCTGTCACTTCGTGAATGGATAGTGGGGTCCAGAGGGGGAAATGGCTCATCAAAGATTACTGAGTATTGGAGTCCTGAGGCCGGCTTAGATTGATCCTTAAAACTCGGGCTATTACAACTCTGGGTATTTGTTGTAATTTAATTGACTTGGGCCATTAAAGTTACTCAAGTCAGAGAACTAAGAGTGTGAACTTTGAGACTGGATCTCACATTTGAAAGAAAGAAAGAAACAAACAAACTTGGGGTCAGGTTGTGGCAGAATTGGGAATGGAACTTTGTTTCTTGGGAACCCATTGACAGATATATATTAAGACTCTGGCTATTAGGCTGCTATTTCTGATGATTATAATAAATAGTTGCATATCTACCAGTTTCAAACTCATGATTTTTGAGCTGGTGCATATAACAAAGCACTAATGGTGAAGACGGATAACCAATAGGGAATTGTGAGGGCTGTGGCACCCAGGAGAGTACATGCCTGGGCTAACAGCATTGAAATTCCAACGTTTCAAAGTCTGGCAAGATCTAAACCCTTATAGGATCCAATAGGATCTAATCTTAGGTTGTCAATTTGCCCCTCCTGTGCTAAAGCCACATCACCATACATCTACTCCTAGCTTAATTAATTTACCTAAACTTTGCTAATCCCTAATTAGAGCAGAAAATTTTTTCTAGGGTGTGCGTGTGTGTGTGTGTGTGTGCGTGCACGCGTGCAGAGTGCTTCCAACCCTGATACCATAATTTCTTTGAGGGTTCTCAGCCCACTTTTTGCATATTTCAACCTTTAAAAACAGCCTGGATTCCAAGGACAGGAAATGTAATCTCATGGATGACAATATCCCCTTTGCATCACATTCCCCATTCTTGATTATTTTTAGATGCGTCAGGAGGAGATATACTGTCTGTTCAGGAAGCAGGAAAAAGTAGCTCACTATTCCAGGTTGCAGAGCTTCAGATCCCTCAAGAGACCACTTCTTCTCTACTTCTTGATTTATATTGAAACTCATGAAAAAAAGAATCATGTAGTGTTAGGGCTAGAAGAGATCTTGGAGATCCATTAGTTTTACTACCTTCTTTTACAAAAGAAGAAGTAGATTACCAGACAGAGAAAGTGATTTGCCCATGGTCACACAGCAAAGGTAGTGGCAGATCTGGGTTAAGAACTAGTTAATATCCTGATTACTGTGCATGGAACCCTAAGAAGGCCATGTGCCGGGGGAACCAGAAACATGAGTGCCGGGATAGACTGCAGACTACATCAGATGGCTGACTCTGTGGCCATTTTCTTGACCCAACCTGGTACCTTGTGGTTGGCTTATGTCATATCTCTGAAAATAGCCAAAGCCTGAGGTTTGGATACGAGGGCCACTAGAAAGTTTGGAGGACCTCATTCAGTCATCAACTAAGTTATCCTTCAAAGAGCAGTGCAAATATCCCCTGTTCCAGGAAAGTTTCTCCAATCACTGTACCCAGCAATGATTACACCTTCCTCTCTGACTCCATAGGACCATTATTTGTACCTCTTGGTACTTTTCCCAGCCTTCCATACAAACGAGGCAATCAAGTCTAATCTTTTCCTCCTGGTTAAATGTGAAACCCCCAGAATTAGGGGCTACTATAGTTTCTGTACATTCTCTCCCCCTTCTCCTTAGCCCTGTTCCTTGCCCTCATTTAGGTATTCAGTAAATGGTCATTCACTTGACAGACTGACTGGCTTTGCTTTCCATAAAAACTCTTCTGGCAGCAGAATTTCTGAAAGAGAAAATACATTTTCCTCGGCTGCTTGTCAAAGAGAAAAAAAAAAAGGTCACATCAGGCATCAAAGCATTTCAACTAAGGGAACCCTGGCTGAGCACTTCCTCTGTTGGGCACCGCGCACGTGTTGTTGAGCCTGTCTCTGAACTAGGCAGGCTTGCCCTCAGGTTGTTGAGACAGATCAGATAACAAAGAATGGCAAGAGGTATATAAACAAACAAAATGTGTGCTACGCTGAGCTAGAGGTAAGATCCTGAGGGAGCAATTATATTAACCCCCATGGGAAGGTTTTTATGGGGACGGGCCTGTGAATTGGGCCTCGGAATAAAAACAGGCAGGGTTTCTTCAATGGCAGATCATGGTGAACTTACAACCTTTTCCGTGAAGTAAGAAAGAATGTCTCCTGGCAGTTCAGAGCAAATGTTTAGAGATGGTTGAGTACAGAACATAGCCATGGTGGCTGGTCCACCTTGTCAGGAGGGTAGGGTAGGTGAAGAATTTAGTGATAGGTAAAGCTGGAGAGATAGTTTGGAACCAGATTATGGAGAGATTTCAATGCCAGGTTCAGAAGACTGGGGAATGCCTGGGGCGAGTAGTGCAAACTGTGCCCACTTCTGACCGCTCTGGTGGAGGTGTTAGCAGGGTCCTAGAAGCATGACTAACTCTAGTTGATGCCGCTGGCTGACACGAGACCCAGGTCTGAGACGCCTGTGGCAAGTAGGGCAAGCTGGGTCCTGCTGGGTGCTGCTTTCACCCATATTTCAGACAGAATTAGGCAATGCTGGTATGTTGCTCTTGTGTCTGCTAGAGGTGACTGGGTCTCAGATAAATGAATCATGGCAGAATTTTTGGAGCTCCAACCCCAGATACACTTCCCTGCACTTAATCCTGTGGAATGTCTTGGAAATTTTACTGAGGTGGACGGGAGCCTCAGAAGCCCCTCTTCTTTCCAGAAACATTCATACTATAGGCAGAAGAACGATGCTCTCCGCTGAGGGAGGAAGAGAGGGAGGAGCTTGGCTTTAACATAGGGGCTCTTTTGGGATGCCTGGGTGGCTCAGTTGGTTAAGCATCTGACTCTTGGTTTTGGCTCGATCATGATCTCAAAGTTTGTGAGTTTGAGTCCCACATCAGGCTCTGCATTGGCAGTGCAGAGCCTGCTTGGGGTCCTCTCTCTCTCCTCTCCCCCACCCCCTACCGCCCCACTTGTGCTGTCTCTCTCAAAATAAATAAACTAAATAAATACATAAATAAAAATAAAAGAGGGGCTGTTTTTTGAGTCTGAGAACTCCTGGGGCTAAAATAATATTGCTTATAGGCTTGGATTCAGGAGAGACTAGCATTTTGTTTTATTGTTCTTGAGTCTCACTTACTTTTCATGTTTCCATTCTAGAATACCTCTCTGGGGGTTGCTAACAAGTGAGGTGTTGGAAACCAGACTAGCCACAGCAGAAAGAAGACTTGGGGTCATTTAGTTCATTCTCTAGGAAGGTTAAAGCAAATCTTTTGTTTAATAAATACTCTCTCTTCCAATTGATTCAGTCAGAGCAAATGTCTCAGTATCCTTCATGTCCCTTCCTGTCTTCTTTCTGCATATTTACTGGCACATAGTCGGTGTTTAAGGAATGGTCCTTAAGTGGGTGAATGGGAACCACTTCTGATAGGATCATATTTGCATTTGTTTTGGTTTTGCTTCCCCTAAGAAAGACCACATTGTGCTATTTCTTTTTTTTTAATTTATTTATTTTGAGAGAAAGAAAGAACCAGCAGAGGAGAGGGTGACAGAAAGGGAGGGAAAGAATCCCAAGCAGGTTCCATGCCAACAGTGTGGAGCCCAACGTGGGGCTCAATCTCATGAACCATGAGATAATGACTTGAGCCAAAGTCCAGAGTCGGATGTTTGACTGAGCCACCCGGGTGCCCCCATATTGTGTTATTTCTGTTCAATTATATATATGTTTCCAGGGACAAAGTAGAATCAAACCTGATATTTCTGGGATTGCTCATCTTGGAGAATCGGTTGAAAGAAGAAACAAAACCAGTTCTGGAAGAGCTCATCTCTGCGCGGATAAGGACTGTAATGATCACAGGTATATAACAAAGTTGTACATGGAAACAGAAAGAATTTGATGTGGAAATAGACAAGATCCATTCATTTCACAAAGACTGTTGACTACCTACTGTGGGTGGGACACCATTCTCGGTGTTGGAGATCTGCAACAGAAAAGGCAAAATTACTGCTCTCACCAAGTTTCTATTCAGGTGGGATGAGATAGAAAAATCAATCAGTTGATCAAACAAGCAGCTGGCAATAAGAGTTATGAGGTACATAAAACAAAACAGGGTGATGTCTTAACTGGCTACTTTATATGCGGTGTCCTCTCTGAGAAAGGCCATTTGAAATAACCCCTGACTGACAAGAAGACGTGGGTCAGGCACAGATGACAATTTTTGTTAAATGTTAGTAGGAAGAGAAATGCTTAGTCAGCATGGTGTGTAAACTACCCTGAAGGCCCATTTATTATTCTGGTGGCAAAAAAACAAAAACAAAAACAAAAACAAACACAAAAACAAAAAACTGTCCCCTGTGCTTCTCTCAAACCCCAAATCAAGGGAGGGGTGAGAAAGGATCATGCAAGAAAAGTGTGTGAAATTTCTTAATGAATGCTTCTTAGTAGAGAATAGATCATTTCTTCATGTGTTCAAATTTAAGTGTGCGCCTTTCTTTCCCTGCTTTCCAGTCAGGTGCATTGAACTCTGATAGTTGTGTCGCCAAGGTACACTATTTCCCCACCAGAGCCCTTATTCCCCAGCCCATTTCCCCTGAATCCAGCTTCACTGTGGGAAGCTCTAGGATACTTCTACTTTCTCCTCTGTACCTCCCATCTCCCATTCTACCCCCACAATACAAGAGACTTAGGGGTCCCTTTTACCTTCTTCCTTTTTAGTCCCTCAATCCAACTTGTAGGTATTGCTGAGCTAATTTACTACTTAGAATTGCCCTTACATCATGACCCGTCTGTTTCAAAAATCTTTATTTAGCACTTATTTTACACATTTCCATAATCTATCCTTAGTATTGGGATTTAGGTAGAAATAAGGACGCATCACTCTGTACCCCGCTTCTTCACTTCTTCATTCATATTGGAATTTCTGTTCTGTTTCTTTGCTTGCTGGGTTAAATTTTTCTTCTCAAGGTTTGTCCTTGGATAGGATAGAAGGATGTTATGCTCTCTAATTTCTTACATACCCTGGAGTATCTTTCTTGGCTCTGACAGGTGAATGCCCTCTTGTCTGGGTGTAGGATTTGGGGGTTAGAGTCCTGTTTTTTCCTTAATGATCTCTAGGTGTTATTACAAGTCCAATTCCAGTCCACTATAGGTAATTTGTTCTCTTCTGTATACTGTCCTTTTCTTCAACTTTGGAGTTTACAAATACTACCAGAGTATGTCTATATGTTTGTCTTTTTTGTCCCATTGATTTCATTAATTAATTAAAAGTAAACACTTTTAATCTATCTTCTTCCTGTCAGGGAAAGTTCTTCTATTGTTCATTTAATTATGGCCTTTGCTCTGTCTCTTCCTTTTTCCTTTCTGGAATTTCTGTTATTCACATGATAGGCTTTCTGGATTTATCTTCTCTGTCTCTTATCTTTTTTCTTGTTATTCTCATATTTGTATAATTTGCCTCCATGGTTTAAGATTTTTTTTGCATCCAGTTTTTCCAAACCATAAACTCAGGTTCCAAGATGACCATTATGTCCTTCAAATTACCTCTTAATGTTGAGATCTGAAATCACGTTTTGGGGTGGTAATAGCTCTAGAAAACCTTTTTAAGGGGGGGGGGCATTAGAGGAGAAGGGCTACATTTGAGTTTTCTTAAGTGCACTTATTATTTGTAATGAGATAATGCAAAGCTTTTTTCTTTAATGTGTATTTATTTTTGAAAGAGAGAGAAAGAGTGCATGCAAACAGGCGTGGGAGGGTCAGAGAGTGAGGGAAACACAGAATCTGAAACCGGCTCCAGGCTCTGAGCTATCAGCACAGAGCCTGAGGTAGGGCTTGAACCCACAAACCGTGGTGAGCTCATGACCCGAGATGAAGTCGGACGCTTAACAGATTGAGCCCCGCAAGGCTCCCGGAGTTACTGCAGGTTTTATCAATCTCCAACAACTGCTCTATGTTGTCTGTCATGTGTTGTTCTGGTTGTTCTGCCTGATATTTTCCTGTCTAGCTTCTGAGACTTCTAAAATAGGTTGTTATATTCTCTGTCAGATGACTGAGGCTCAGGCATGGAACTTCTCAGGTAGTGGATGGCAAAAGTGTCCTGTGCTGCAAAGCAGCCCAACTATTGGTGACCTGCTGAGGCATTGTGGACACTTCTTAGCTCTCAGGGCTCTGGCCTCAGGGTAGAGAAACTCCTGCCCACCGTTAGCTCTTCTGGGCTTCCTCATATGTACTTTGGTAGAGACCTGAAGAAAGCCATTTAGGGATAGGCAGTCAGATGTTATTTATTGTTCAGTGGTTGCTCTAGGAATCACATCTGTACCTACCCTGTCAAGAAGGCTTACAACCATGAACGTCCTTTGCCTTCTCTCCTTTATGTTATGGTTGTCGCGTATGTGACAATGAAAACCCCACCATACCATGTTAAGGTTTTCACTTTCAATAGGCACGAGTTACACACAAATGGAAGAAAAATAGACTTTTATATTTACCCAGATCTTCATTATTTCTGTTGCTATGTTTTTATTCCTAATGTTAGAAGTTTCCCTCTGGTGTCCTTTCCTTTCAGCGTAAAGAACTGTTAGCATTTCTTTTTGAGTATGTCTGCTAGCAACAAATTATCTTAGTTTCCCTTCTTCTAAGAATGTCTTATCTCTCCTTCCTTTCTGAAGGGTACTTTCAGAGCTTCACAGTTCTTTCTTCAGCACTTCAAAGATATTTCACTGTCATTTTGCCTCCATGTTTTTTGATGACAAATCTGTAATAATTTGAATAATCGTTCCCTAATATATAATGTATTATTTTCTCTTGCCGTTTCTAAGGTATTTTCTTTATCTTTGTTTTTAGAAGTTTGATTGTAATGTTTCTGGGTATGGTTCTCATTGAGTTTATCTTACTGGGATTCGCTGGGCTTCTTAAATCTATGAATTTAAATCTTTTACCGTATCTGGGAGCTTCTCTGCTTTATGTCTTCAAAATATTTTTTCCTGTTTTGATTCCTTTCTCCTTTCCTTCCTGGACTCTAATCACATGACTGTTGTCATTCTCCAGTCCCTGTTCTTTTGTTTTTTTAATTTTCTCTCCGTTTTTCAGATTGTATAATTTCTACTTACCTATCTTCAAATTCACTGCCTCCTTCTCCTGTCACCTCTATTCGGCTTTTGAGAGCATCCAGGGAATTTTTTATTTCAGTTATTATATTGTTCAATTCTAAAGCGGTCATTTGGTTCTTATTTATAGAGCATATATATTTTTTTTCTCTTAAGAACTTCTATCTTGTCATTTATTTTAAGAGTGGTAACCTTTACCTCATGGAGGAAGCTTATAACAGCTGCTTTAAGAACATTGGTAATTCTAGCATCTGGGTCATCCTGGTACAAGCAATGGTTGATTGTCTTTTCTTTTCTTGAGAATTGACCACATTTTCCAGGTGTTTTGTATGTTGACTTTCTTGAACATTTAAAATATTATAGTGTGAGATTTCGGATCTTGTTAAAATCCCCTGGAGAATGGTGAGGGTGATTTTTGTTTGTTTGAGCAAGCAAAACTCTAGGACATGGGAGGTGATTCATATCATAGTTCAATTCTTGAGGCTTCTACTCTCCTTCCCTGGGTTTGTTCTGCACATTCACAGCTCTGGGTTGAGTTCACCCAGTAAGTTAGTCTGGTTGTCTAGCTGTCTCCTTTCCAGGGTCTGCCCCATAGTTCTTCAGCCTTCAGGCTTTTTCTTTTTCTAGTTTCTCTGGTCAGAAAGACTAAGTTTCTCTTGGAGTTGTATTTAGCATCCTTCACAGCGCTGGGACTGGGGTTCACACTCAGGTCACACATGTGAGAGAAAAAAATAAAACCAAGAATATCACCACCTTGTAGATTATTTCTCCAAATTTGACTGCCTTCCACATTCTACCTGCTTTTGTTTACTTTTCAAAGTCCTCAGATAGTTGCTTTTTGTATTTTTCCCATAGTTTCCCATTGTAATCAGTGGGAGAGATAGATTTTAGCGGTCTTATTCCAATTTGGCTGAAAGTGGAACCACCTGGTACTATATTAAATCAGTAGGGTTTTGATAAATGTTTACCAAGCTGAAAAATGATGGAAATAGATTTGAATTTTGCCTTTTTGTTTTTTCTTTCCATTCTCTGGAAAAATTGGTGGGTTATGAGTAACCAGATAAAAAGCAATAAGAATCACGAAAGGGATCATGGATTCATGGAGAATCAGCATGAGAGAGACTTAGAAATTATTTCTTTTCACACCTAAAATAAATTCTGGACTCCTTACCCTAGTTTTCCAGGCCCTGCATGAATTGGTTCTATCTTTTCAACCTCACCTTGCTATACCCTTCCTTTCTTATAGGTGACAATCTTCAGACCGCAATAACAGTGGCCAGAAAGTCTGGAATGGTTTCTGAAAGCCAACAAGTCATTCTGATTGAAGCGAATGAAATCACTGGGTCCTCATCAGCATCTATATCTTGGAAATTAGTAGAAGAGAAGTCCATTGCATACAGCAATCAGGTACACCTAAAAACAGACTTATCTAACTTGACTCATAGTGTTGGCTTCTGAGCAGCTTTGACTGGCAGAGATGTACAGGTGACCTCGGGTCAACATATTTCCCCAAATGTCTAACACATATGCAGTTCAAAGAACTCATATCCATTTCTCATACTGTTCCTACTGAGCCTTAATGTATAGTGCCGTCGTGGGTCCTGGAAAGGATCCATTATTTTAAGTGTAATAATGTTGTTGGCCCTATGGGAGAAAAAAATGTAGTAAGGGGGACTGTGAATCTAATTTCTCGTCCTCCTCTTGCTTGCTAACCATCCCACTGGGTCCTAAGGAGATTTAGTCCCTGGGAGAGAAACTGCTGTGCACATTGGAAAATTAGACTATGTCTTTGGGCTGGGAAAAAAAAGTTTTATCCATGTAGTCCCAATCATTCAGTATCCTATCTCTATTGTGTCCTTGTGGAACAATATCAATTCTGTAAGAAAAAAAAATGGTAAGTTCTCACTTCAGGGAGAGATTTGTTAAGGTGTAGTGCTTTGTATTTTACACTTGAAATGTGTGAAATGTGCTCTTCTCTGGGACTCACCAAGATCAAATCAGGATGAGAACAGGACAGGAGTGTTATTCTCCTATTCACTAGAGGCTGTGATGTGCAAAGATTGATCCAGCAAAGACAAAGTGTTTCTCTGAGGAATTGGTGCTGGAGTGTGACTCTTAAAGAGAGACCCCAGTCTCTCTTAAAGAGAGAGGCCAGTCGTCACTGCCTCTCTCTGATATACTTGTGGTCCTTTACCACTCTATCAAGTGTCTAAAATAACTTGTGTTTTGCTTTTGCAGGATAATTACATTAATATCAAGGAAGAAGTCTCTGATCATGGCAGAGAGGGAAGTTACCATTTTGCCTTAAGTGGAAAATCCTTTCAGGTTATAAGTCAACATTTCAGCAGCCTACTCCCAAAGGTAAGTTCTAAGAGGGTATCAGTCTCCCAGTAAAGATGCCAATGAAGTCACTTACAGAGCATGTTCATAAGTAATTTCAAACTTTTAAGTAGGTAAGAAATACCTATTGAATATGTCATAAAGGGGCAAAAACATTTTGTTGTCTCATTTCTAGATAAGTTTAAAATTAGTAAATTTGATTAGCCCATTTCTCACCATCTAGAGAAATAAAGTATTAGGAGCATCTCAAGTCACAAGGATTGCTTTTGGGTGGCTGTCTTCATACTGCCATGGTGAGGGGTCTAACGGTGAAGGGAAATCCACCAATTATAGAGGAAAGCAGCCCAAGAAAGGAATTCTGTTAGGTTTTTGATAGAGAGTCTACACAAGAAAGGGTCAAAGTTATCAATTTTCTGATGAAGAATAAACTCATAGCAGGGGCAGGTAAGTTATATACATAACAGGTGGACAAACTAGAGAAAGATTGTGTCTAGTGTAATCCAAAGATCAGTTATTTGTATTCAATTGCTTATCATCTTAGGCACTGTTTAAGACAAAAAGATTAAAGACGTAGAGGCTGATCAAACATTAAGCTGAGTTACTTTCAAGAAGAGCAAGGAGCACAGAGATCTAACAGAAGAATTCAGACTCTGTAGAATAAAGCTCAGGTGGATGGAGCTGGTATAGATTTATTATATCTCCAGACCACCAATGTTCCATAGCCAAAATTAGACTTGGGATATCAGCTGAGCTCCACAATTGGTCAAGCCCAGATGGCATGGTTAAATCAAAGACCACTAATTGTCACTATTTCATCATGAGGCTGTTTTTTTTGCTCGTTCTGAACAATTTTCTGAGAAGCTGTTGCCTCCTTTCCTTTCCCTAGGATGCTGACCTCTTGATATCTTGCAATTTCTCATACTTTATGGTTGAAGATTCCATTAAGCTCAGGATTTTTTGACCACCTTCTTGATGGCAGTTCAGCTAAATATCTGAAGGTCATCATTTTCATCCAATATTTTTATTAAGCAGTCATCTTGACTGATTTTTGGTCTCCTTGGTCGCTTACTTGATGACCAAGGTCTCAATGTCTTTAAAAAAAAAAAAAAAAAAAAAGACTTCTTGGAAACAAATTGTGTTTTGCCATTCATGGATGTTATTTTCCAGTCAGCGTTCTAAGTATTATCAATTATCTCATGTATGACCAACTGACGTGATATAAAGTTTCTCTTGGGTTCCTTACAGATACTGATAAATGGAACAATCTTTGCAAGAATGTCTCCTGGGCAGAAATCCAGTCTGGTGGAAGAATTTCAGAAACTGGAGTAGGTTCTTTACCAATTCAGGTGGTATGAAGTGCCTGGAGCATGACAGTCAGGGAGAGTGTAAGAGGTACAAGAAGTCCCGTAAGGCAGTGGTTCTGAACCTAACTGCCTATGACAGTCACCCTGGGAGCTTTGAAAAAATAACAATCCCAGGACCCCACTGTCCAGATATTCTAATTCAGTTGCTCATGTGAGGCTTGGACATCAGTGTTTTTTCAGCGTCCCTCAAATGAATCAATTTTGTACCCAGAGTTGAGAACCACTGGACTAGAACATATGGGACGGGAAAGTGTGTGGTGAGAAATGAACCTGGAAGGATAGTTTGAGTTCAGCTCCTGAAGGTACAATGAGAATTTAGACATTATAAATTATCATCACAGCTGTGATATAAGGAGATTCGTATGGCAAGGGATTCACATAACCTTAAAAATACTGAAATATTTATATGGCAAAGTATCTTCTCTGTCCTGAATCAGAATAATACTTCTCTTTTAACACAAAGGGTCTCCATTAGAGAATAGGCAGTTCAAATAAAGTGCCCATCATTTGAGACCCTTTATTTCCTGTAACAGAACCCATGGAGTCCTGTAAGTTTTCTTCATTTCTGGTGCTGGACCATATAGACATGACTCCTAATCTTTTTCACTCCCACTTCATCCCCCCTGATTTAGTCACTAGGCAAGCTTCTTGATTCAGAAAGTCCTGTCTTCTTAACTTGGTTGAAAACCTAGATAGTAAACTAGTTGCCTTCATAGGACACTGTGGAAGACAAGTACAGCAAATCCTATAAATACTGCCAGAGCACTCCTACCTTAAAAAGCACACTATCCATAATCTTTGTCAAGAATTAAAGCCAGCAGGATGCACTCACCCTCAAAGAGCGATCCTGACGCAGGAATATATTTTCTTTCTTCAAAGTCTGGGCATTTGTTAGTTGAGTGACTGCTAAAATGGCAAATTTCCTGCCCTGTTACTATTTACAGCACCAAGTAATTTTCGTTTATTGTTTTAGAAATCAGAAGACACTTTTCCCTACAGCATCTCACTGAATACTCATAACACTTTGTAGGAGAGAAAAATAATGGCCAAAATGGTCAAGTGATCAGGTCAAAGATCTTGATCTGGCTTCAAATCTGGTGCCCTCTCCACTGCGCCATGGTGTTATGTCATAAAATTGTGAACGTCCCATTTTACAGCCAACAAAGCTGCTTTCTAAGCAGTGAAGTACAGGGTCTCCCTGTAATGCTTGGAGTCAGGATGGTGTGCTGGCTTTCCTAATCCATCGGGGAGCTGCTGAGTCACACTTTACTTTTAGTCAAACTGGACCCTTCAGAAAACTCCCTTAAAAATAAAGAATCAGAGTGTCCCCTAAGTAACGAAGTTCATTTTATTATTTTTTTAATTAGAGAAATTAGCAGTTAAAATTGCTTTGATTTCCCCTCCAATTGACATGGCTCCCTTTTAGTTACTTTGTAGGTATGTGCGGTGATGGAGCCAATGACTGCGGGGTAAGTAGCTGCCGGTGTGTGGGGCCATGATCACACCAGGACACACCAGGACTTACACTTAATTGCACTTGCCTGGAGTCCTTTAGACATAATATCCCTGGGAGACACTTATCTCCATTCTTCTTGATGGAGGAACTGATGTGTAGGGTTTGGGAGGGTTTTGACCAAGGCCGCACAATGACTCAGTGATCGGTATACTGACTTCTTTGGCCAGATGTCCCAGTGCCGTCTCTTTGTTATGCAATAGGCAGAACAAATTCTGGTCCCCTCCTGGCTCGTGCTTGGGTCCACGGGCCATCCTGTAGCTAGCTTGACAGGCTTTTCCCGTGTGGCCTCAGGAGAGACATCTGTGAGTGTGCAAGCAGAGTAAGCTGACTCTTTGCTTTCAGGCTTTGAAAATGGCTCACGTGGGCATCTCTTTATCAGAACAGGAGGCATCTGTGGCCTCACCTTTCACTTCTAAAACTCCAAACATTGAGTGTGTACCTCACCTTATCAAGTAAGTAGACGCTTTCCACCAGCACTGTTTTAATCTCTCTTGACTTGTAAGTTCAGATCCCATTGTTCGGCCAGGGAAACAACAGGGAAATTTTGTGTCCCTGGGTGGGGTGGGTGCTTTGCAGGACAATGCAGTCAGCCATTCTACTCCTGAGTGGACTTACCAGCAGTTAAAAATAACTGTGGGAGAGTAGTGGCATAATGAAAACCACTCAATAGGTTATTTTTAGAAAATTGGAATCTGGAACTTTGTTTTTTAATTTTAAGGTTTGTTTATTTATTTTGAGAGAGAGAGAGAGCATGAGCAGGGGAGGGGGCAGAAGCAGGAGAGGGGCAGAGAGAGGGGGAGAGAGAGAATCCCAAGCAGCCTCCATGAGCAAAACGGAGCCTGACTCATGGCTTGAACTCACAAACTGTGAGATCATGACCTGAGCTTAAATCAAGAGTCAGAAGCTTAACCCACTGAGTCACCCAGGCACCCCTGGAATCTGGAACTTGTAACTGCTTTGAAAGTGTTGATCTTATTATTGTTATTTTTACATATATCTCCATAGGTGCTTTATAATGGGGGGTAGAGACAAACTTTCCCTTCCCCGATCGCCCTCTTTTCCTCTTACCTCTTTATGCTTCTTTGGAATATCCTTCCCATGCCCAGTTTTCAAAATATTAACTCATCTTTGCTGCTTCTACTAAAATCTCCCTTGGTGCTTTATCTGTGCCTCCCAGAAAATGTACTTCTGCTGTATTTTATTGGGATGGTAGAGATGGTTAGCACTGTGGCCGCTTTGGGTGATTATAACTAGCATGTATTTACAGCTTGTGAAGTGCTTTAATACCCATTATCTTATACTTCCAAACAGCCTGGAGATGTCGGAGTGGTCACTGTTTCCTTTTACAAATAAAGAAATGGAGGTTTAGAGAACTTAACTGAGGTTCCCAAGCTCACACAGCCATATAGGATTAGAAATTATGTTAGAACTGATGCTATTTAAATGTTTTCTCTACAATTGTCATACTATTCCCACCACATTAAAATGATGATTTCGCTGGCTCCTCCCAAATTTTTAAAAATTTATGTGTGTGTTTGACAAATGTTTATAGAGCGGGCACTTAGTGCCAGGAACTGGTGGAGACGCTGGAGACCCAGAAGCAAGTAAACCACGCATTCCTTGACCTCATAAAGCTTTCTTCTGGTGGAGAAGTCAGGCAATAAACACATACACAGATAAATCAAGGGTAATGGGAAAAGTTAGAAGGCGGCTGGGGAGGTGGAATTGGCTGCTGCAGGTGTGTGGCATGCGAAAACCCTTTCTAAGGAGGTGAGAGATGACGAGAAACTACCTTCTGGTAGAGCAAATGACAGCAGCTGAGCCCCAGTACAGGGAAAAGCCCGCTCTGAAATCAGGCTTTGGAATCCCAGGAAAACATTATGACCAGAAGCAAATTTAAACTCGTTTCTCTCCAATGAAAGTGATAAAAGTGGCATCTCATAAATAATCTATTTTATGCTTTAAATATATACCATTTTACTCAAAGTCCACCAACAGTAACGGAAACAAACACGTTCGTTGTTTTCAGTCTATTTAAATTCGATATATGGTGTATTTGAGCATAGACACTGTTTCAGTGCCGTTTTAGAAAAAGCGGAGATGGCCAAATGATTTGAATGAAATGAAACACCTTCATGAAAATAGCCCCCAAGCCTGCAATCTTATTTAAATTCCTCAGTATACAGATGAAGAAACTGTGACTGACAGAAGGAAATGACCTTCCAAATTACACTTGTGAGTAGGTACGAGCTCTAGGACGCATCCCCAGGTCCTCTGACTCCGCTCTGACATGATGCACACAGAGAGCACGAGGCTACCATGCACTCTGGGCTCCCGAACTGGACCAAGGCTGAGGAGCTGGGCCCGGAATTGGTCTTTCCTGAAAGTCTAGTCGTTTAGCATACTGACAGGCAGCTCCCTCGGGCTCGAGGCTGTCCAGTCTGTCAGACAAACTGTTGAATAATCAGGCTTTGGAGTGATTCTCCTAAGCTCAGCTGAACAACAGAGTCACTGACCTTTCTTTCCATCTCCTTACTCTGTCCTTTCTTTGCTTACACAGGGAAGGACGTGCCGCTCTCGTTACCTCATTTTGCATGTTCAAGTACATGGCACTGTACAGCATGATCCAGTATGTTGGTGTTCTGCTGCTCTACTGGGTATGACTGGTGACCCGAGCTCTTGGTTAGAACTGAAACAAGGAGTTGCATCCTCCCAACCTGCAGTGCCTCTTGAGGAAGAGTGCACGTGGGGGAGCTTGGAGGGCCAAGGGCCCCTCTGAAACTACCTTTATGGTGAAAGTAAATCAGAAATAGATGCACACGGGAGAAGCTGAAGGTGTCAATTCTCTGACTCTCTGACAGAGACATTTTGTGTGTAGCAGTAGCTGACGATCAAGGCATAGCACTTTCTCGCAGTTGCTTCTGGCTGCTTGGACGAGGTCTCCATCTTCTCTGTTCCAGTGTGACTCTACCCGAGCGTACCATTCAGTAGCGAGATGATCTGGGACTGGGGAGCTGGTAAATGTTTCAGAGCCGCTCTCCCTGGGACAGCAAGCCCTGGTTATTCATGTTTGCTGATTTCCATGGTGTAAATATGCCCACCATGGCTGGTTTCGAGCTGCCTGCCTGACGTCACTGAGCATGGAGTTGGGAAGAGATGTGCACATAGCATGTCATTATGTAGTACTTGCACCCCCGAGATAGAAGACTTGTAAATATCTTAAAGAACATAGATAACAGCACAATGTAGGAAAAGGATTAGGAAGTGCTGGATTGGGGGTATTTATTAGCTTTGTTTTAGCATAATGTATTTAATGGTAGATTTATATAATTTCAGGTTCTACAATGGCTGTGTTTAACAGCCAGTTCAAAAAAAAAAAAAATCCCTGAAAACTTTGCAGTCGACTCTCATGAGCAAGTATAAGCAGCCTGATGATGATTCGTTAGATTCATCTCTATGTCCTGCCCTCTTGCTTCTGGGCTGAAGGTTTTAGTTTTGTTATTTTCCGATTGCTTATGTCTTTTCCCACTCACAATGAGTGAGATGGAGAAGGAGAGGCTGTGCACAGAAATTTGGTCCTATTTTGGAATCCCAACAACTCATGCTACAAACTAGAGTTGAACTTGGGTCATCTTGATCTCCTTTCCACTAAAACGGGGGCAAGGAAGCAAGTTACTTGAAATCAGTAAGATCTTAACCTTTTTCCCCCCCAAGAATATCAAGGATGCCTTATCAGGACTTGCTAATAACACCCAACACTGCAAATAGTGGGTTCAATTATTCTTTTTCCACTGGTAAAATTTGGGTAAGATCACCACACATTTGTCTCTTGTTACTACTGGGAACTCACTGTCTTGTTGTGCCAGACCAAACCCTGACTTTCTGCTAGCAGGTAGAAAAGAGATCAGAGATGGATCTAGTAGAGTAAGACATCTCCCTCAACAGGAGGATGTTGATGTACAAAGGACCCAGCCTAGAAAGCACACAAAGGTGGCCTCCTGGTTGGAGAGGGTTTCACAGCCTTATCTTTGGTACTTCTACCAACACAAACAGGACCCTGGCCACACCTTCTTCTTGTAAAATCCCATGTTGCAGGAACAAAAATGAATGCAACTGATGTCAGACTTCATCCAGAGGGTCACAACATTTTTGACCTGCTTTCCTTTTTCTTTTCAGGAGACAAACAGCCTTTCAAATTACCAGTTTCTGTTCCAGGATCTGGCCATCACAACTCTTATTGGTGTAACAAGTAAGACATTTTTGAAACTCTCTTGGCTCTTCCAGAAGGGCTGGTCCACTAGGAGGGACACCAGTTGCAGCCTCAGGGATATGGGACTTATGCCCAAAAGTCTATTCAGAGAGGGAAAGAGGAAATAGGAGCCCCATTTGTGAGTCTTGGATTGAAATAAAAGTATTAGCCATGGAAAAGCTGGCTAGTTATTTTTCTGTTTTCCACAAAATACAGGGCTTCCATAATGGTCACTAAACTTATTTATTTATTTATTTATTTATTTATTTATTTATATTTTGGGATAACTTATTGCTTTTCATTTTTTTAAATATAATTTATTGTCAATTTGGCTAACATACAGTGTGTGCAATGTGCTCTTCGTTTTGGGGTAGATTCCTGTGGTTCATTGCTTACATACAACACCCAGTGCTCATCCCAGCAAGTACCCTCCTCAATGCCCATCACCCATTTTCCCCTCTGTCCACCACTCCTTCCCCCCACTACCCTCAGTTTGATCTCTGTATTTAAGAGTCTCTTGTGGTTTGCCTCCCTTCCTCTCTGTTTGTAACTATCGTTTCCTCCTTCCCTTCTCCCATGGTCTTCTTGTTCAGTTTCTCAAGTGCACTTTGAAAATCAGGAATGCTGTCTTCAGTGTGCTTTCAGGTGTAATTACAGTTAATATATGCCCAGTTTATAGAGGCTGGATAGCTTTTATGCTTTAGATCTTTTTTTTTTTTTTTAGTTTATTTATTTACTTTGAGAGAGAGAGAGAGAGAGAGAGAGAGAGCAAGTAGGGAAGGAACAGAGAGGGAGAGAGAGGATCCCAAGCAGGCTCCATGCTGTCAGTGCTGACAGGGCTCAATCTCATGAACTGTGAGATCATGACCTGAGTTGAAATCTCGAGTTGGACACTTAACCGACTGAGCCATCCCGGTGCCCCTGTTTAGATCTTTAAATCCTAGCCTTTGGGGATTTTGAATGAAGATTAAAGATAATCTTGCCATTAGGCCACTCCCATTTCCACCTCTTGATTAACATGAATCGTCTTCCCAATTTCCCTGCTGTAGGCTTTCACCCCAACCCATCCACTCCCCACCATCCACCATATTCTCTGCTTTCCTCTCTGTTACATATAAATGCCAACAGCTCCACTTAAACGTTTAATCCTACCTCTTCCTACCTTCTTGGGGATTTTGTTTCTGTTATAATCTCCTTCTTCACTGTCATCAACTTTTCTCTGGTCTGCTGGATCAGCATATAAATATATTTCCTTATCTTCTACCAGATCTGGTATTCAACAAAATTATTAGCTATTTATTGAGTGCCTAATTTGTACTACTTACCATAATAGGCACTTAGAACACATCAGTGAAAGGGAAAAATATTTCCTTTCCTTGCATGCTGGTAAAACAACCTGGTTGTTCAAAGACCTGGAGCCATCCTTGGTTTCTCTTTTCTTTATCCTTCACATCCCTTTGGATGGAGCTCCTGTTGGCTCTGCTTTCTGGAGCTCTGTACCCCCTGACACAGAGCCATGTCACCTCCCTTACGGATTCTCACAACAGCCTCACAACTCATCTTGCTTCCCCTCCTCCCCATTTACCTTTCAAAGAGCAGTAAGAGTGTTAATTTTGAAAAGTAAATTTTATTGTCACCTACTTACTTAAAATGCTCTAGCCCCTGCCTGCTTCTGCTTCACTTACAACCACATTGTTACATTCTTATCTCAGGCACCAGGGTCTTCTTGTCACTTGAGCGTTGTCAAGCTTGTGATCACCACAGTACCTTTGTTTTTGCTCTTTTCTTTGCCTAAAACACTCTCCTTTTCCATCTTTATATGGCTTTGGTTTTTTCTTATTCAGATCTTAGCTCAAATGTCACCACCTCAGGAAGTTCACTTTAAGTAGTCACCAAGCCAATTTTTCTCTATTACACAATTGTGCTCTATTTTTTTTTTTTTAGTTCCCAAGTTTTATTCAAGAATTCATACAAAATGTTCCAGATAAATGAGTTTTAATCCACCTCTTTCTCCTCTTTCTCATCCTGGTTAATCCGGAAGTAACACAGTTTGTAACTCTCTTTGCTGTTAGCAACTACTAGCAATGAATCACAGGGATTATTCTTCAGATATATTTTTTAGGTTTATTTCTTTATTTTGAGAGAGAGAGAGGAGGGGGGGGAGAGAGAGAGAGAGAGAACATGCACAAGTGGGGAAGAGGCGGAGAGAGAGGGAGAGAGAAACAATCCCAAGCAGGCTCCACACCGTCAGTGCAGAGCCCCATGTGGGGCTCAAACCCAGGAACCATGAGATCATGGCCTGAGCCTAAGTTGTATGCTTAACCAACTGAGCCACTCAGGTGCCCCCTTCAAATATTTTTTTGGTGAGTTCTTTCGAACACCATTTGGAAAAAAGCACCTCAGAAGTTACTGTAATCTTGTTTTTGTTCCTTTCAGTGGTTAGAGCCCCTCCAAGTGAGATTCCCAGATTTGCCATTCATTTTGATTCTCTCTTGAACAAACTGCTCAAAATTATCAGCCTCCACCTCTTCTCCAGGGTGGGTGCAGTCAAGGGCAAACTTCATAACTTGCTGCTTCTTCTGTTTTTTGTTTTTGTTTTTTTTTTTTTTTTTTTGCCCCCTTTCACCAGAAACTTTTTCATGGGCACCAAGGTGGCAGTAGAGGCAGAAAGCACAATTGTGCTCTATTTGTGTGTGTGTGGGGGGGGGTGCCCTTCACAATCTGAAGTTATGATTTTATCTGTTTTTATTTGCGTCTTCCTGCCTCCCTTCTCCCAGAGTGTGTGCGTTGTGAGAACAGCACCTTGTCTATCTTGACTACTGCTGTGTTCCCTGTAATTCTGACAGTGTCAGGTGTATCCAAGGGGCTCAAATCTCTCGAAAGAACACCCTCTGGAAAGAACACTCAAGTCTCTGGAAAGAATTAACAGAGTTCTTCTTATGAAGCCAAGCCTATCTCTATGTAACTTGCACCCATCCCAGCTCTGCGATTTAGGGTGGCAAAGAGCCATCTATGTTTTCTCCCTAGATCAGTCTTTCTTCCACATTTTTGAAAACAGCCCTCATTTCCGCTCTAATTGTTCTCTGTTTAGTAACAAGCATCTCCAGGTTTTCCTCTATATTTTGATAAATAACTTGATTATTTTTTGTTCTTATGGTTACTAATATATATTCATTATAAAACAAAGACGGAAAACATTGCAAGATATAACAAAGGAAAAAATCCATCTTTATCCTACCATTCAGAACTAATAAATTAAAGCATTCTGTATGTATATAGATGAAGAAATTTGAATTATGTTCTGTATATAGTTGTGCGTACATTTTCTTCATTTAACTTTGTCATAAATTTTCATGTCATTAAATATTTTAATTTTTTTATTGTGGTAAAATATACATAACATAAAATGTGCCATTTTCACCATTTTTAAACATATAGTTCAGGGGCATTAATTACATTCACAGTTTTGTGCAATCATTGCCACTCTTTACTTACAAAATTTTTACATCTCCCCAAACAGAAACTCTGTACTCATTAAGTAATAGCTCTCTGTTGTTCTGTCAGTGCAGAGCCCAATGTGGGGCTTGAAACTATGAACTGCAAGATCATGACCTGTGCCCAACTTGGATGCTTAACCGACTGAGCCACCCAGGTGCCCCTACAGCCTTTTAAATTTGCTCAAATAGTTACTTTTTAAAAATGTTTTTATTTTTTTATTTTTATTTATTTTTGAGAGAGAGAAAGAGAGACAAAGCACGAGTGAAGGAGGGCCAGAGAGAGGGAGACACAGAATCTGAAACAAGTTCCAGGCTCTGAGCTATCAGCACAGATGTTGAACTCACAGACTGTGAGATCATGATCTGAGCCAAAGTCAGATGCTTAACCAACTGAACTACCCAGGCGCCACTCAAATAGTTACTTTTACTGGACAAAAGAAAGAATGTCAATGAAGAGGTAGAGATTATAAAAAAGATTCTTTAGAAAGAATTTCTTTTGGCTCCTTTTCATATTTTCTGTCTTTTTATTGACATTTTCATTTTGTTCATACATTGTTTCCTAATTTCTTTGAGCATATTTGAAAGAGTTGTTTTAGGGGCGCCTGGGTGGCTCAGTCAGTCGAGCGTCCGACTTCGGCTCAGGTCACGATCTCATGGTTTGTGGGTTCGAGCCCCACGTCGGGCTCTGTGCTGACAGCTCAGAGCCTGGAGCCCGCTTCAGATTCTGTGTCTCCCCTCTCCTGCTCATGCTCTGACTCTCTCTGTCTCAAAAATAAATAGAAACATTAAAAAAAAGAGAGTTGTTTTATAAATTTTTTTTAACATTTATTTATTATTGAGAGACAGAGACAGAGCATGAGCGTGGGAGGGGCAGAGAGAGGGGGAGACACAGAATCCGAAACAGGCTCCAGGCTCTGAGCTGTCAGCACAGAGCCCGACGTGGGGCTCGAACTCACAAACCACGAGATCATGACCTGAGCTGAAGTCAGACGCTTTACTGACTGAGCCACCCAGGCGCCCCTGAAACAGTTGTTTTAAAGTCTTTGTCTAACATATCATATGACTTCACTGATATGAGGACTTTAAGATACAAAACAGATGGACATAAGGGAAGGGTAGCAAAAATAATATAAAAACAGGGAGGGGGACAAAACATAAGAGACTCTTAAATATGGAGAACAGAGGGTTACAGGAGGGGTTATGGGAGGGGGGATGGGTTAAATGGGTAAGGGGCATTAAGGAATCTACTCCTGAAATCATTGTTGCACTATATGCTAACTAACTTGGATGTAAATTTAAAAAATAAATTAAAAAAAAAGCTGGGATTTAGAAAAAAATAATCAAAGTCTTTGTCTAGTAAGTCCAATGTCTGGGTGTCCTCAGAGGTTATTTCTGTCAACTTCTTTTGTTCTGCTGAATATTATAATGTCGTAACTCTGGAAATCCAGATAACTCTGGAAATCCCCCTTCCCCAGAATTTGACGGCTTTTGTTCTGCTAGTTTTTGAAGGCTGTCATACTCTGTTTGTTTGGTGACTTTCATAAACTATTTTTTGCAGACTGTATCAGTTGCCATGTATGGTCAATGAAATCTCTGTTCCTTTAGCTTTTGTTTAGCCAGTGTTTTTGACAGAGATTTTCTTGACTTCCATGAGTGTAAAACCATGAACAAAGAACAACCTCTCCCAGTCTTTGCACATTTGTTCTGTGCTGGGGCCCTTCAACACTCAGCCAGGCTTGTGCTGAGTGCAGAGATCATCCAGAGCTCAAAACTGAGGGGCTGTTCCAGTCTTTCCTGAGTGGGTAACTTGCCTTAGGTGTGTGCATGGTTTTCTATAGTCCCCAAAATACACATATGTTTTTGAAAGCCATAATTTTCCAAAGAAATGTTCTTTAGCTTTTCTTTATCATAGCTATTATTTTATGTCTCAACTGCCATCTTTTGCCCCAGGTGATTGTGGGTAGTTGGTGAGCCTTACAGTTGTTTTCAAGCAGTGGATGCTGCTGCCCTGAGTTCAGTCTTGCATTAGGTGAAACAGAGATGAGCGCCTTGCACCAGTCCTTCAGGTACCCCCAGACAGGTTAGAACGGACATACCCAATGGATGCAGGTGGTCTTCCTCTCTGTGACCAGAGACCAGAGTCCTCCACTGGGAGGGCCAATGACTGACTTTGAGATTGCCACTGAGCTGAGGAGGGGTAGGGCAACGGCAAGTACAGATGTCACCAAGCTTTCCTACCATTTTTAAGTTGCCTTTTTCTTGATTCAGCATGTTTGACTGCTGTAAACCTTTGTTGTTCAGAGTTCTGACAAAGTTAGTTTTGATAGTTTCTGCTTGTTTTTCAATGTTTCTGTGGAAGGATGGGAACTTAGGGCTGTCTGCTCTGCCATTTTTTCCGATGTCACTTCTCATTTTGTCATTGAATATTTTTTTAAGTTTATTTAATTTATTTTACTTAAGTTTATTTATCTGAGAATGAGAGAGTGAGCAGGGGAGGGACAGAGAGAGAACAAATCCCAAGCAAGCTCCACGCCGTCAGTGCAGAGACCAAGGCGGGGCTCGAACTCACGAACCACGAGATCATGACCTGACCCGAAATCAAGAGTCAGATGCTTAACCAACTGAGTCACCCAGGTGTCCCATTGTCACTGAATATTTTAAAGCATTGCTTCTTAGCGACTGCCTGTTGTTTCATTATGTAGATGTACCATAGTTTACTGTAAGTGATGCACTAAAGAACATCTTTCTACACCTCTGATATTTTTAGCTTAAGACAAGTTTCCAGAAATGGAATAACCATGTCAAATATTATGAACATTTTCCGGTGTTTTCATATTTATTGCCAAATTGCCCTGCAGAAGGTTTGTGTCAGTGTACGTTTCCAGAAGCAGTGTATAAGAGTGTACGTTATCATCATGCCCTCACCTATAATTTGATGGACTTTGCCTATTTAATAGGAAAAACTGAACCACAATTTCTTTATCCATTTATCAGTTGATGGACATTTAGGCTTTTCCCACAATTTGGCTATTGTTGAGAGTGCCGTGGCAGTGAGAAAGAATGAAATATGGCCCTTTGTAGCAACGTGGATGGAACTGGAGAGTGTGATGCTAAGTGAAATAAGCCATACAGAGAAAGACAGATACCATATGCTTTCACTCTCATGTGGATCCTGAGAAACTTAACAGAAACCCATGGGGGAGGAGAAGGAAAAAAAAAAAGAGGTTAGAGTGGGAGAGAGCCAAAGTATAAGAGACTCTTAAAAACTGAGAACAAACTGAGCGTTGATGGGGGGTGGGAGGGAGGGGAGGGTAGGTGATGGGCATTAAAGAGTGCATCTTTTGGGATGAGCACTGGGTGTTGTATGGAAACCAATTTGACAATAAATTTCATATGTTAAAAAAAATAGCCAAAACCAAAAGCATTTCATGATTGTTTTTGTCTTCTCCCTTAAGAATTGCTCCTATGACTTGAGTTTGAAGCCATTGTATTCAATGAAGAACATTGTATTTTGTTCCCTCAAAACGCTGATGTACTCCAGTTTGTCAGTTTCCTTGGCTGTGTGGGCCCAAGAATTTACACTGTTCTTCTGATGAAGAATACAGTATTTTCCTTCTCTCACAAACATAACACTTGAATTTATTTTGTAGTGAATTTGAATGGTGCCTACCCTAAGCTGGTGCCCTTCAGGCCTGCAGGACGGCTGATCTCCCCACCTCTGCTGCTCTCTGTGATTCTCAACATTCTTCTCAGCTTAGCCATGCACATTGTGGGCTTCATTCTGGTTCAGAGGCAGCCTTGGTATTCCATGGAGATGCACAGGTACTATCACAGCTCTGATGCCAGCTTCTCACATCCTAATTTCCATCAAACACGGTCTGGCCCTTATGACAAGAAGCAAAGGGTTCTTCATTCTTCTGGAGGCATTGGCTTTCTTTCAAGTCCCTTGGGGAATTTTCCAGTGATCTTCTCTCCTCTGTAGCACAGTTTGAGGGAGGATATTATCCATTGGCACTTACTTTTGCTTGTCTTGTGTGATAATGATCCATGACCTTCTTTTACACCTAGGGTGACCATGCGTTATAATTTGCCCAGGCAGCCCCAGTTTGAGCCTGATATCCCAGTGAAATTTTTTAAATTAATTAATCGTTGAAGTATATTTGGCATACAATGTTACATTAATAACAAGTTATCAATTCGATCATTCTATACACCATTCCTTGCTTACCATGATATGTGGTGCCCATCTGTCACCATATATTAATATGCTATTTTTGATTACAGCTCCTATGCTGTAATTTGCATCCTCATAACATTCATTTTATAACTGGAAGTTTGGACCTCTGAATCCCCTTTATCTATTTTTCCCACCCCTTCCACGCATGTCTCCTCTGGCAACTACCGGTTTTGCTGATGCTACTAGTCTTTTCCTTTCACATTCCAATATGCTCCTGTTGGATGATAAATTATATGGTCACCCTATTTATCAATATTCAAAGATCTTAAGCCACAAGAGGAAAAACTCATGGCTTACTCATCTTTTTCCCACATAACCTTACTACACATGAAGGGTACCCAAATTATTGAATAAATAACTTGTCTCTCTATCTATCTATCTACCTATCATCTATCTATCTTTTATCTATTCATCTATCCAAAATATAGATCTATCTGTGTTGGTTTCTTTCCCCTTATTTCTCAGTATATTCTTTCCCAAAGTGTACGTAATTACAAAAGCACTGAGGGCATGGAATCCTGTAGTTACCAGTGCTCCATAAAGACCTGTCATCTTCGTTCATTACCTTTTTTGTTTCTTTTTTAGTGCCTGCACAGTGCAAAATGAAAGCATCTCAAAGTTAACCATTTCTCCCACCGCTCCAGAAAAAATTGGAAGTAACGGTGCCTTCACAAGCTTCGAAAATACTACCATATGGTTCTTGGGAACAATCAACTGTATCATCGTGGCTCTTATTTTCTCTAAAGGAAAACCATTTAGGCAGCCCATATATAAAAATTGTGAGTAGCGTTGTACCAGATCAGAGGTGATGGGTCATCAGAAGGAACACACATGCCCAGGTCACTCGGGGAGCAGCAGCGGAGTTGATGCTTATCTGGAGCCCTTGACTTTATACTCCAGGGCTCTAGAAACACATTTGGCAGCCCATTCTTTGCTCCTTTCCTCAAAGCTGCATTAAATTCTAGGGCTTCTTCCTCTACCTCTTTCCTTCACCGGAAGTTTGTCTCCAGGTGTCCTTTCATGGCACCACTGTAAATTGGGACGAGTCATTTATTTCCTCACGTGTCAGTACTTGTCGGAATTCATCTGGGAGGAGGTGGAGAGAGAGAAGTGTCACAACACTCAGTTGGAACATGTCTCCTGCCATGAAGACAATGGTTAAGATGGCATTGTGTGGTTGGCAGCCTGGGAGGGGGTCCAGCCTGAAGGAACCTGGCTATGGTAATTGTGGAGGCTCTTGGCCAAAGTACATGCTACCTCCTTACATTCTGGACTGGAGTGCGGTGTGTGTTAGGAGAAGTGGGTGACCTGGTTACCCTGTGGAACATTCATTTGTATACATCCCTACCTCTCAAATTGGGAACATTTAATTAATTAATTATTTAGTTAATTATTTTTACCTTTACTTATTTATTTCGAGAGAGAGAGAGAGAGGAAGAGCATGAGCACTGGAGGAGCAGAGAGAGAGAGCGAGAGAGAGAATCCCAAGCAGGCTCCATGCTGTCAATGCAGAGCCTGATGTGGGGCTCGAACCCATGAACTATGAAATCGTGATCTGAGGCGAAATCAAGAGTTGGATGCTTTAACAACTGAGCCACCCAGGCACCCCTAATTGGGAAAATTTAGAAGCATAAGTTGAAGGATCAATGTCCTCATAAGAATTAGTTTATTTAGAGAAAATTATTTTGCCTTTCTCCTTCTCGGGATGAGAAAGCAGTCAAATGCTTACCTCTACATTACTGCAATTTAAATATTTGTTTATTTACAGCCCTCTTTTTTTTCCAGAATAGAATTTGAAGCAGGGGATTTGCATTAAAAGGACTTGGAGACTTAACTGTCTTCAAGGCATTGTTTGAAAATACATTAGGTCAAAATTGCTCTCTCTATATTTCCCACTTTTATTAATTGAAACTTACAACATGCATGTGAAAATTTCCATCTGCTTCAAGGACATGCATAGAAATTGTGGAGGTGAGACCCATTGCATAGAAATGAGTACTTTCCATTTATTATGCTGTGTTTGGATGTAGGAATCAAGTAAGCTTAATCAGTGTTAATCTAGAATATGTCTGTCAATAGATGTGAAACTCCGTATATACTCCAATTTCTCTAAATGATAGCTTGTGTTCTTATTTCCTCAGATATATTTGTCCTTGTGTTGGTCATACAGCTGGGTGTGTGTCTATTCATTCTATTTGCTGATATTCCAGAATTATACAGGCGTTTGGATGTAAGTCTTATCTCTGGGCTATGATGATGGTTTACTGTTATATAATACCCTGACTGCAAGAAGCAGGTCACGGTGGCAATTGACATGGACTCGTGACACTGATTATCCTTTTGGAATAGTAGAGTTAAAAAAGAATACTACATTTATTTGTTTTTTGTTTTTTTTTTTAAGAGTATGTTAACCTCTTTTTTTCAACGTTTTTATTTTTATTTTTGGGACAGAGAGAGACAGAGCATGAACGGGGGAGGGGCAGAGAGAGAGGGAGACACAGAATCAGAAGCAGGCTCCAGGCTCTGAGCCGTCAGCCCAGAGCCCGACGCGGGGCTCGAACTCACGGACCGCGAGATCGTGACCTGGCTGAAGTCGGACGCTTAACCGACTGCGCCACCCAGGCGCCCCTATTTGTATTTTTTTAATTTAAGCCAGCCAGGAAATAAGATTCTGTCTAGTCTTGATTTCAAATATTTCAGAAGCATTGACCATTTTTCTTTTAAAAGATCCCTGTAAGAATGGAAAAATCTATATACATACACTGTTTCAAGCGTAAGAAAATTTTTCCCCTAAGTGCTTCTGTTTTGAAGCTGTTGAAAACAGTTTGCCTGTAACACTTTTTCTGTTAATTCTCAAATCTGTACTTACATCTTTAAAAAAAATCTCTATAATAAAGACATGTTTGTATGTTCATACTTAATGTCTGCAAAACTTGTTTGCCAAGAGCCGTAACTTACCTCATGAACTCTCTTAGAGTGTGTAATTTTGAGGCAAATGTCAAAATCTATGAGACAATTTTTACATATACAAGCTAGGGGAAATGTGTATGTCAATTCCTTTAACCTATACTTTTGAATTAGAAGTTTATTATTACCAAATGTCCTTTAGACCAATAAATAGAATACAGAAGAGATGGTAAAGGGAATGGACTTTTTTTACTTAGTGCTACGTGAGCCTGCCTGCCCACCTCTCCAACTCAAACACACGTGTCATGAAGGCCAAGGTCCTATCTTATTCAGTTTCATATTACCAGTGCCTAACATAACCCATGGCACGTAAGGGCAGTAAATGACTGATCCTTGTAGATCAGGTTCCTAAATGGAGATGAGCACTGGAAGCTCACAGTTCATTGCAAACCAGCAAAACCTTCACCAACCCTTCTTGACACGTGACATACAAACTCATGTCTACATTCGGTTTTCCTTGTGATAATTGTATCACTGTGGTTAACAGCGTAATTGCCACTATTGTTAAATATGTTCATGAATTTGAGTAAGCAGTCATGGAGATAGTCTTTGGCTGCTAGACTTCTAAGTGAGTTAAAACTTCTTAATCCTGCAGAAGTTAGGGTTAAGATATGTTGGGTTTAGTCACACTCTTTAAGAGGAAAGAGTCTTACAGAGAGGCTGATTCCTCTGGTACAACAAAATAGGGAGCCTATTTAGTTTTGGGGGGACCTGTGTGGGGTCATTGCCAACATGACTGCCAAGGAGTCTGCAGAGAATTATTGCTCACCCTAAAAATAATTATTTTTCTTCTTATTACATAAAATTGTGGGTACATTCTAGAAAATGTGAATATGCAGGCAGAGAAAATTATAACAGTATTCACTCTATCCTTCCATCTTTGAAACTTTGTATATTATAAAAGTCCATTGACTGACTTATGCAGTTTACTTTAAACGGAATCATGCTGTTTTGTAACCTAGTTATTGCTCATTTTAAAAAATTGCATTTTTTGGGGCGCCTGGGTGGCGCAGTCGGTTAAGCGTCCGACTTCAGCCAGGTCACGATCTCGCGGTCCGTGAGTTCGAGCCCCGCATCAGGCTCTGGGCTGATGGCTCAGAGCCTGGAGCCTGTTTCCGATTCTGTGTCTCCCTCTCTCTCTGCCCCTCCCCCGTTCATGCTCTGTCTCTCTCTGTCCCAAAAATAAATAAACGTTGAAAAAAAAATTTTTTTTAATTGCATTTTTTTAAAAAATAGAGATACATTCACAACGTTTAATATTCAAAAGTTAAAAAGTTCTGTCCTCTCATCCTTTTTCCCCTGCTACCAGGTCTCCTCTCTGGAGGCTACTGATGACAACACTTTATTTTATACACTTTTATTTTTATACACATATTTTATACATATGCCTACACACACACACACAGACACATATATATATTTCCTTTTTTTAATTTTTTTAAATGTTTATGCATTTTTTGATAGAGACAGAGCGTGAGTGGGTGAGGGGCAGAGAAAGAGGGAAACACAGAATCCGAAGCAGGCTCCAGGCTCTGAACTGACAGACATAGCCTGATGCAAGGCTCGAACTCACGGACCGTGAGATCATGACCTGAGCCGAAGTCAGATGCCCAACCGACTGAGCCATCCAGGCGCCCCATATATATATTTCTTATATGTGTATTCTGCCACATTCTTACACAAATAGCAGACTATTAAATTTGTCCAGGTCTTCTGAGCTGAAGATGGCAAAATGAGATGAGACGTGTGAGCAAGCTATGGAGGAAATGCCTGTAGGGGCAAAAAGGCGAGGAAGCCCAAAGAGAAGGGGAGGGTGGCACCTTATGGTGTAGGTCTGACCCCCATGAAGGAGTGACGGAAGGAGGGCCAGAGGGGTAGGGTTTCAGATTGCAGTGCAGTTCTAAGAAAGCCCAGCCACAGTTGCCCATCACAGGTATCTAGTATCTTATAAGAATGAGTGTGATTAGAAGACCTGCCATCCTCAGGTATTAGCTATGAGCAACTCATGAGGAGTGTGGGCTCAGGGTAGATGTGGTGGGAGATTCCAAGGGTAGCACTGGAGCACCTGCTACTTACTCTCCTGGCAGGAGACCCTCATGGGGCATGCCCATGGCTGCCCCGACCACACACGGTTCTGCACCACGATCTTTCATGTTACAGTGTATTTTGGTAATTGTCCCACGACAGTACATAGAGCTTCCTCATTCCTCGTTTTATGTTAATATATTGTTTCAATATACATATATGTACCATAATTTATACGCAGCCCCCGTTGATAGACATTTAGATTGCTTCCAATGTTTTGCTATTCCAAACAAAGCTGCAATAAAATAACTTCATACATATACCATTTCAGGCATGTACGAGTCTGTCTCTAGGATAAACTCCCGGAAATGGTTTTCCACTTTTAATTTCAATGGCATTGCCCTCCATAGAGTTGTACCAGTTTATAATCCCCCCAGTGTAGAAGGCAGTATATGAGACAGTGCCGGGTACAGCAGTGTGCACTTGGTTTCATTTCATCCATCCATCCATTCATTTATCTAGCCAGACATCCATTCCCATCCAGCTCCACTTGCCCCACTGGTGAGTACCCTTGTCATGGCACCATCTGTGCAGCCGTGCACACAGCCCTGAGGGTAAAGCCCTGGCTCGGGGCTGCAAAGCAGGGCTCAGCTGAGGGGAGATGTGGCACCAGAGAGACAAGGGCAACACTGCCCCTGTCACATTCGACTTGTGTACCATCAGAGCCTCCTGGGAATAGAGCCACATTCCTGTATTCCCTCATAAAAGCGAGCAACGCAAGCAAACAAAAACACTTTTATCAAATTTGTCAAATTTTGATCGAATTGATTTGGGGAAATTGAGAAATTACAGGGGCACCAAAAAATAAAAAGGAGAAGAAAGAAAGATAAAACAACAAAAGCAGCAATCATAGTTTCTGTTATTTTGTGTGTGCCTCTAATATGCATACGTGTAATGTCTACATGTAAGCATGTCTATTACACACGTGATTTATAACCTATGAAAATGTACACTGTGAATGTGTGAACAGCTTTCTGACATTTATTTGTCTTCAAACTAACAGTGATTCTCCGTCTCCCACCAGCTTCTCTGCACTCCTCTTCTGTGGAGGGTTTACATCATCATTATGCTCAGCTCCAACTTCATTGTGTCCCTTGTGGTGGAGGTAAGTGCCCTCCGACTTCTGATCACTGTGGGTAGGGATGGACGGGGCATTCTTTGGGAGTCTGAAAAAAGGAACAGCCTTAGAGGATAAGAGTCAGCAGTCCAAGAGGCTCCCTGCCCTGGTGACATGAGCAATGGTGCTTTCCTCTAGTGAGCTCCAAACAAGGTGTTAATTTTCTCGTCTACATGGTGGACCTGGAGAGAATGGGATTATGATGTCTAAGGACCTGTTCGTTTCTAAAATCCACAAGTAGAGAACTGACTCAATTCGTTTTTTTGAAATTACGTATGATTCACATACTACAAAATTTGCCTTCTTAAAAAGTGTGCAGCTCACTGAGTTGTGCAACCATCACCACTAATTCCAGAGCATTCTCATCACCCCAGAAGAAATCCTGTACCCATTAGCAGTCGTTCCTCATTCCCCCTTCCCCCTTCTTCACCCCTTGGCAACCACTAATTTACTTTCGGTCTCCACGCATTTACCTATCAGGACAGTTCACATAAAGGGAATCATAGAATATGTGGCCTTTTATGTCTGGCTTCTTTCACTTAACAACGTCTATTTCTTTTACTTTACACATGGGAAATAAGATTCATAGTGAGCTTTTCTTAGATTTGATTCTTCATCTCCCATTTACTCCATTTCCTCAGTGAAATGAGTTTGTGGTCTCCTTTCTTTGGCTATGTGGTTCACTCTCCTCCTTCAGCACTGTTATTTAGACCAAATCTTCATTCTTCAAAGCCTCCTGGAGAACAGGGGTCACCCCTAGAAAAGACATCTGTGTCAAAGGGGAGGTGAGCATCGGATTCCATCTGTCCCCAATCTGGGTGGCAATGTTTCCAGTGGCAAACACAGCCTTATGCCAGTGAGGGGGGAATCCCTGGAACCTGACTTCTCTGCAGCACCTTCCTTAACAGGCAGGGTAAAAACCACACAGGAGCCAGTGGCAGAAAAGAACATAGAATTAAGGTACTAGAGCCTCTCTCTGTGTGCATATCCAGGGCTTCTCAAACTTGAGTGGGCATCAGAGTCACCTGGAGGGTTTATTAAAACCCAGGTTGCCCAGCCCTTCCCCTAGCATTTCCGATTCAAAGGTCTAGAATAGGCACAAGTGTTTGTCAGGTGATTCTGATACTGCTGGTGGAGGGACCACACTGTGAAGTACCGTGCTAACCCGTATGGTCTCCAAAGCCACCAAATTAATAAGAGAGGATCGCATGAGTGTCCTCATACCCAGCTGCAGAAGGATGAACCTTGCCCTTTAAAGGATAATCTTGTGTTCGTACCTTGTCCCTATCAGTGATCACATTATTTCCTCTGCCTGGTATGGCTTCCCCCAATATCTCCTTATGGGAATGCTATTCCATCCTCTATGGCACAGCAGTAGTAGTATCGTCTTCATGAATCTTTCCCAAAGCCTGGATGGGTGAGTCAAGTAACAGTGGTTTAAACAGTCAAGATATTTATTGTCTCACTTAACCGGAAGATTCGAAGTAAGTGGCCATAGAGTTGGTTCAGCAACTCAGTGGTGTCATTGGGGATCATCAATCTTTCTCTCTTCTGCCTCCCCATCTTTAGATACGGGCCTTTCGGGGCGCCTGGGTGGCGCAGTCGGTTAAGCATCCGACTTCAGCCAGGTCACGATCTCGCGGTCCGTGGGTTCGAGCCCCGCGTCGGGCTCTGGGCTGATGGCTCAGAGCCTGGAGCCTGTTTCCGATTCTGTGTCTCCCTCTCTCTCTGCCCCTCTCCCGTTCATGCTCTGTCTCTCTCTGTCCCAAAAATAAATAAACGTTGAAAAAAAAATTAAAAAAAAAAGTTGAAAAAAAAATTTAGATACGGGCCTTTCATGTTTGCGTGTATTGCTTATGGTGTCCAGATAGCTGCCGCATAGCTGGGCATTATCTGTGTTTTGATGCAGGAAAAAAAAATGGAAGGAGAGGCACCAGCAAGCCTTTTTTCCCTTAAGTATGAACCTTTTATAAGGAAACAAAGTCATTTTCTATAGCCACCTGCAGACTTCGTCTTATGCCTCATTGGTCAGAACTGTGTCTTATTGTCATCCTGAGGAGAAAAGGATTCTGGGAAAGTGGATCTATGCCAAACATTAGACAGATTTGCTGAGATTGTGTGTGAGTTTTTTCCTCTTAGGTGGGCAGGAAAAAGTTGGAAGGATTGTGCTATAGGTAATGGAGCAACAAAGTCTCCCATAATCCTCTAGCAGGAAGCCATTAGAATGTCACCATGTTTGCAGTTAAAAGAAAGCATAAGCCGGAAGTAGTTCACCTGGGTTGGAATCCTTTCTTGCCGCCTGACTCTGGGCAGCACTTGCAACTCCACTTCTCTATGTCTCCGTTTTCTCATCTGAAACGCCGTGATAATAAGGGTACCTAACCTTACAGGGTTACTGTGAGCATGAAAGGTGAACACAGAAAAGCATGTAGTAAATGTTTGATAAATATAAACTATTATCATTATGTTATCTCTTGTGATACTTAGCATTTCTTAGTTTGTATCTATCAGTCATGCAGGCTTTCATTTGTTCATTCACTCCACAAACATTTGTTGACCCTGTGCCATGACCTAGGGTGCAATTCGAGGCAGATCCTGATGATGGAGGGGTGCTGCTCACAGTCTACAGCAAGCAAGAGGACCAGTGCTACAGTTATTTGTGTGTAGATTGTGTAAACGGCGCTGGCAAGAACTCATCTCAGTATCTACAGTGTCTAAAACCCTGCTTTATTCTAATAGAAGCTGGGTAAAGCTTTGTTCAATTATTAAATGTTAAGAAGTGACACTGCTCGCCTCCAGCAGATGGAGAGGATAATTTGACACTCATGAAAGATTAAGTTTCTCCTTTGTTTCTCGAGTCCACTGAGAAATGGAGACCGGCATAGATGTTCAGTGGGGGTTCCCAGCAGCTTTCACACTGAGAAATGATGCTGTGGGGTCCTAGCTCTCACCCTCAGGCTCCTGCATGGCAGTCTTCACTTATTCGAAGTTCCCTTCTGCTGTCAGTAGGCATTCAGGAACAAACCAAAGCCATTTGAGTCTGTGGTTGAAGGAAGTTGTAATGGAGAATTACAGACACTAAGATTTCATGCCCTATGAGGTGAGCAGAGTAGATAAAGACCCCAGGCTATCACGGATGCAGCAAGATGTTTTCCTCACATAGCTCTAGGTATATCTGACAGGAGATACTAAAGATTGGTGGCCAGCCTGTGACAAAGATGGTCCAGAGAGGTTTCAAGGGACAGGCATGGGGGATGGCTGGCCTTCTGTTGCACAGTTCCAAATATTTCCTGATCTGCTGAGAGGACTAAGACTATCCCTAATCTTAGAGCGGTTTTGAATGGGATCTTATCCTCACCTTGCTTTCTCATGATCTAACCTCCAACTGAAAGGCATAGGAGCTAATCTGGATAGCTTTAATTCTTCTCGTTTTTATTACTTATGTGTTTGTGTATATATGTGTGTGTATGTATGTATGTATGTGTGAATTATTTTAGTAGCCAATCTGAAGAGCTTGTGTGGTGAAGTGTTTGTTTGTTTGTTTTATGCTTTTTGTTTTGTTTTGTTTTGTTTTAGAAATCATATTTCTTCAAGGGTTTCCTTTTGTTTCTAGTTCTACATTTAATTTATAAGGTAGAGTGACAGAACAGGTTACTTCTCGGTCCTTCAGTTTCCCAATCCAGACCAGCAAAGTGAGACAGGCCATTATACTTCTAGAATTGTGATAACACTCAAGGCATGTCTTATAGCGCTAAAGTCTCTCTGTGTGTGTCTGTATGTGTGTTTGGTTTTGTTTCATTTTGTTTGTTTGTTTTTTTGTTTAAAACCTGGTAAGATATCCTAGAGGTAAGTTAGACTTTAAGACCAGTAATTGGATACCTATGATCCTGCCCTATTCCAGCTCGATGGAGAACTACTGTTCTCTTTTTAATTAAGAAGGACAAAACAAAAAACAAAAAAGCAACTTGCTGTGGGAAAGTAATAATTTGTGGGGCTGAGTACAAAATGAAAAAGTAGAATAACAAGTCTGGCTAGGTGAGCCCTGAAGTTTACAAGATGTTCTTGAGATGGCTGTGTGGGTCTTTAACAGCCTGCTAACAGATGATCCATTTTTTGAGACAGAAAGATTCAGACTAGCTGTTCTCTATTATTTCCATTGGCAATGGGATTCCAATATCAAAGATGGGTGGAATTTAGGAAAACTACTACCCTGGCAAAGGTCCTTGTAGAATCCCATAGAATTGATTCTTCCAGTCTAGCAAAGATACCACTGATAGACACCAAATTGAGTTCTCATTCTGTGGGACAGCAGGCCGTCTCATATTTTTTGTTTTTCTCAAGATAACTTCTAAGATGGTTAACTTTTATGACTTACGATAAAAATGAAAAAATAACACAATAACCTCTTATACACTCTGTATTATGTTATAACTTGAGACCTGCTTGAGGCTCAGTCTAACTCATGAAATAAAATGGCAGTCCAAAATGTTTCCAAAGAGACATGTCTTCTGTAATCTTAGAAAAATGCATTGTAGTGAAATACTTGTAGATGAAAGAGGCCACAGTGAATAGGGCCACAGTACATAGCTTATTGTCTTATTTATTTATTAAAAAAATTTTTTTGATGTTTATTTATTTTTGAAGGAGAGGGAGACAGAGCGTGAGGGAGGAGGGGCAGAGAAAGACAGAGACACAGAATCTGAAGCAAGCTCCAGGCTTCGAGCTGTCAGCACAGAGCTCAAACCCATAAACCACGAGATCATGACCTGAGCCAAAGTAGGAGGCTTAACTGACTAAGCCACCCAGATGCCCCCATAGCTATTTGTTAAGTAAATAATTCATAAAGGTGGTAAAGGGAGGCATCTATACCATGCCCTGCCCTACATTGTAAGGAGAGTTACACAAAGAAGGAATTATTATTTCTAATCACTGAAGCTCAGATAAGGTAACTGATTTGTCCATAGTAGATGTCAGAGCTGGAACTTGAATCCAGATCTGTCCAGGTGTAAGACTGTGGCCCATATTCCAATTTATTGACCTGTATTTGGGACTATGCAGTCATATGGCAGGGCACACCAAAGCCACATCTTTCTATAAGGTAATTCCATGGGGTGGACTGCAGAATTTGAATGATTTTAAATTTAATTTATATATGAGATTCAAAAGGAATTTCATCCTCGAGGCAGACTACTTCAAGCTATGTTTCCAGATTCTTAAAACTGGGAACTCTCTCTTTTCCCAGAAGAGTTCCTTGAGTGGAAAAGCTTGAGAGGCTGAGACCTACCTCATGAAACCACATTGGATTTGTTCGTACAGGCCTCAAGTTTTTTGTCAAGCTGGATCTAAGCAGCTAATGTGGTAGCTCCTCCGTAGGGTCTATGGAGGACCATAGCCAACCTCTGGTTTTAAGAATAACTCTCTTATTTTGCAGGAGGCCATTATTGAAAACCGAGCCCTGTGGACAACATTCAAAAGGTGTTTTGGCTATCAATCAAAAAGCCAGTATCGGATATGGCAGAGGGCCTTGGCAGATGACCCCAGCTGGCCCCCGCTAAACCAAACGTCCTACTCTGACATGCCAGAGTGTGGCAGGGGGGTGTCTTACAGCAATCCGGTGTTTGAGAGCAATGAGGAACAACTCTGAAGCCAAAGTGATCTCTAAGGTGATAAAGCATAGAAACAATGACAAAAGGGACCAGTTTCAGTAATTTTCAAACAATGGGACTCTTACAAAATCAGCTGGAGTTTTTGGAATAAAAAAACCCATCCAATCACGATTGCAAATTCAAGTTTACCTGATAAAATACTTTCTACAGAGCAGAACACTGCCCCCAGAAGAGTGCCTTCCTCTTGATTCTGAAAGTATTGACGGTGTTGGTGAATCAAGAGTGAGCCAACGATGGCAATCAGCCCAGAGACTGGGAGGCTAAAGGACAAGGAGAATATATAATCTCTTTTCTTAGGTAACATTTTTTAAATGAATTGAGAGAAAGTAGCACTATGTGTAGCCATAGAAATGAAACATGTGAAGGATCACCTTTGAATTCTTATTTTATTGATGGAAAAACAAGTGCATGAGAGCCATTATACCAGTCCTCACTGTCTGGTTTCCTTTCCTGCATAGTACTTTCAGAGTTGAGACATTTTCTTCTGCTTCTGGCCTTCTCCTACATATTTGGAAGGATGGGCTAAGCTCATGCTTCAGTAACAAACAAGCCCCTTGTCTCAGTGGCTTAACGCACAAGAGCTTCTTTCGTGGTCCAGGTGACTCTGTAGACTAGCTCTCCTCAGTGGTGACTGCTTCAATCCGTTGGCTCCACCGGCTGAAAACAAGTACTCCACGTTCACTATGCTGGGAAAGGAAGAGACTGGAGAAGGCACAAAGGCTTTTCACTGCCTCACCCAAAAAGTGGAACGCCTCTCTTCCACTACTCACATCTCATTAATCAAGGGTTTGGCAAAGGAACTGGGAAGTACAGTCTCCTGTGTTTAGGGCTGGTTTCATGGGCACATGACCTGTGCAGTCACCTGGGGCCCCATGCTTAGAAGGGCCCCACATTTGGTTTAATGCTTTGCTGCTGCCATCTCGAAATTCTTAATTTTTGATGCTCTTTGATACATGCTACTTTAGTTTCTCTCCCAGGAACCCGAGCTGGACCAACTACATAATTTGTGGGGCTGAGTACAAAATGGAAATTATTTTTGAGAAAAATTAGTCTTGTACCACAACATTATATGTTATCAATTGATGTAAGTGCTTATGCAATCTACACATTTCTTAAGTTTGAAAAGGCTTCGATTTTCAGGAAACAGAAATTGCCCTTATTTTATCACTATTACAATTCTGTTATTTCGGATTCATTTAGCATAGAAAACATCCAGATTTCTGTTAGCTCAGCAGACAACTCTGAGTTTTAGGAAAACATCCACAGGTAGCATTTTAAAGCAAAAGCAAAATTTTCATTACAAACCTCAAATCCTAGGTGAAGGTTCTGGGCAGGGGGTGTGTCCCAAGCTGGCTTTTCTCCTTATCAGTAGCATCTGCAAGCATTCCCTTCCCTGGCTGAATTCTGGAGCATGGCTGGATGCTCTGTGGCTGCAGATAATTCTGGAAACACAGTGTTTCTCAGCCATGAAAGTATCTTGTTGCTTCTGGTTTTAAAATAGGGTGTGAAGAATCATGTAAATAGGCTGCAGAATCATTGTCTTCCTTGGTACAGAAAGAAATGTTTCCTTTTACAGAGTTAGCCACAGCAGAGATATGGTAGCTCTGAATGTCTTTTTCTAAAACTCGTAGTTTTCTCGTTTTTCAACAGGGCAAGCTGGAGATGGTCTACAACCTAGTCCTGGGCAAGGGCATTCCCACCTAGAAGATCCCCTTACCAGGTGCTGTCACCTCTCCTGTCTCATTTGCATTGCACGATTCACTCAGACTCAGGCAAGGAAAGGCTTATCATCCACTTTTACACGTGAGGAAACTGAGATTCACAGTAAGGAGAGCAGACCCAGGCCTCAGACACAGATCTTCTGAGCAAACCTTCTGTTGTTTCCAAATACCTCCTAATTACAAAGCTCCAGCAGGGCTGGGTGTTTGGGGTGCTCTCACAGTCAAACAAAGAATAGGTTTCTTATTCTTCAGGTGGAAGGAAGCAACCTTTTGCTAATACCAGGGCCTAATGTTCAAATGAATGCCAGGCACCCTGCCAAGCTTGGGCTAGAGGCAGGTTAAAAACAAAACAAAACTAAAACCCATGAGTGTCTGTCTTTCTGAGACTCTGAGTTGCTCTTACCTTGGTCCTAAGTTCCATCCTCAGTGATTCAACAAGACCGGCAGGAAAACAGAGAGGGAAGACTCCATTTCCTCACCAGCCAAACAGCCCTAAAATCTTTGTCAAAAGAGTCTTATTCTGAAGACTGTACTTGAAGTTAACTGTAACTGAGAGGTAGTGAGAAAATGCTTTACTTGAAAAAATGGGGTTGGGGGGTATTGTCAAGGGATGTGAGAGTTGTTTTCAAATACTTGAAGGGTTCCTGTGGGAGAGAAGGCTCCCACCTGTGCCTGGTGGCACGCTCAGTGTGTAAAGGGCACAGTGGGAATGGCTTCAGGCTGACACGAAGACCACTGCCCCAACAGCTCAAACAGCAGTGGAAGCTGGTGACCCATGAGGTGTGTGCCCCATGACATTGGCAATACAAGGGGATATTCAGAGACCAATTAGAGGTGGAAGTCAACTCTCCAATGGAATTCAATTACCTGCCAGATCCTTTTCAGACTTGATATGCACATGTCTCAATCTTATGCTGTGATGTGAACCATTTACTGTCACTGCCCACATAGAATATCAGCCTGCCTTTTGTGGGGAGATGGGCTGGGGAGGACAGGTTTATAGCCCTGTGAGGTCCCACAGTCAAATGGGCTTGACTGCTCTGTACCTTGGAAGGTGGCTTTGGTTGGGGATAAGATTCTAGAAAACAGGTACCCACTGATGGGTCCTGACCACCAAACTGACAGCTGGGACATACTTCTGATGTGTGTGTTTTCATAGAAAGAGCTGCTTGAAAAAAATCAGTAAAGAAAATGTGGGAGAGTGTGCCAAACCTGAGGTCAGAGTACCTGCGCCTGATACGCTTGTCTGACCAGGACTTGGAGGAGAAAAGAACACAGTCATCTGATCCACATCATTTAAAAGGTCCCCTGTATGTTCGCTCCAAGGTACGCAGCTCTGACCCACAGAGAGGAACTCTGGCTCTGGGTTCTTCTCACTAAACACGTAATGATCTGAGAATGGAAATATGTCTGTGCCATCTGCATCCTCTGAGCTCATAGAAGGGTGCGTGTGCACACTTGCAGATGCAATGACTAGAAAAGCAAGTATTTATTCAGAGTCCTGTATTTAGTTTATGCTGTAATAAGTCATTCTGTGCAAAAGAGGCAAGCATAATCTGTAACTCTTGTGTTATAAAATCAACCTTTTTCCCTTTCTGCAGTGGAGTCTTTCACTGTGGCTAATACTCCAGGCATGTGGAATCAAAATCACATCTTTACAAAGTTTTAGACATTTCCTAATGCTGTAGACACCATTGTTCCCCGCTTGGTAACAGGGCACTACCGTCTACAAAAACTTTTGCACTCATTCTCTAGTTTAAGCCTCATGACAATCTAAAGAGGAAGGCAGGGCAAGAATTACTATCCTCCTTCTTTTGATGAGGTACCAGACCCTCCAAAAGTCTCAGTAACTTGTACAAGGGCATGTAGGAGCTGGAGCTGCGTTCAGACGCAGGACTTCTGCCAATGAGTTCTCTGCTCTGTCACTCTCCCATGTTTCTCCTGGATGAAATGTTTGTAGCATTGAAGAACAAGAAGGCAATCAAGGCAAGGTAACCATCCAGTGGACTGCCGTGACAAGTGTAATTGCTTCCAGAAAGAGATTTTAGTTCTCATAGAAGTTCTCTTGAATTTGATCATCAGTCACAGAAAGGTCAACTCCCATTGCTGAGGAGTAAAATCCAATAACCAGAGCCCTACAGCCTATTTTGTGGGAGCAGATATAGCTCTGGTTTGTGATTTCGGTCTCCAGAAGCAGAAACCTATATCTTTGCTTGAATTTTGCTCGGCCTCCACTTTGTCCAGCATTTTCGAGTCATATGGACTCTGTCTTGGCTTTAGGCTAACCTCCCTTACGCCAGTCGGTAGCTCATTATTGCCAGCACTCGGTAACTCACTCACTCCAAGCATACAGGGACTTTCCCAACTCGATACCTTTGCTCATGCTGCTTTGTCTTTGGGGGCATCGATAATTCTTACTCTCATCCCCACATGCCCAAATCCCACCCATTCTCAAGACCCAGTTAGAATGCCACCTGGTCTGCAAGCCAGAAGGGAGTTCTCTTCTGGCTACACACTGCCTGCACTCCTCAAATGTCTCCTTTGTGTGGCAGGCACCTCTTTTGATCATGCATAATGGTCATGTGCCATTTGGGATTCCTCCAACTCCCACCCAACTCCACTTTAACTAGAGTGCGCATTCTTTGAGGGTAGGGACCAAGCCTGATTCTTCTCATCTGCCCACTCGGCACCCAGCACAGGGCAGTGGTTGGGGCTCGGCAAGCAGCTGTGGCATGATTGAATAAAAAATATAATCACTAGGACATTTTGTTGATTTATTTTTCCTTCTTTGTCTGTGAACATCTGCTTTCCATGCAGTACAAAGAAGCTGAACTAAAACAATAGGACTATGAATAAAAACACAAAGTGCAAAGTATAGTGATTCCAACATGGAAGCTTCATCAGTCTGGCTGCCCATTTACATGGCAGAGTGCGGAGGTATGCTGTGGAGTTACATGGGTTAGGCATGTGTTGCAAAGACACTCTCAATGTGTAGGGGACCCAAGGAGTGAATTTGTGTGCAGGGACAAAAGCTCTCTCAGGGATATGCTCAACCCAAGGGGAGGGAAAACTGGGGCAGGGCACTTTGTTTAAAAACCAAGGGACAAGGTTTTGGAGGACAAGGGAAGTTTGAGTACGACTGGGTGTGTATTCTCTCTGTTCTCTGGTTTCACCCTAACTTTCAGAACTTTTGCAAGGACTTGGGAAGCGGTGATGGAGAGAGAGGGGGTGCAGAGAGGTAGAGAGAGAGAGAGGAAGAGCTAAACCGTCTTGTGTTCTGTGTGTCACAGTGCAATAAAAGGCGGGTGGAGAGAATCCTGACAGTGTCGTGGCTGTGGGAGCACAGATGCATGTTGCTAATGGCTGATCGTATCATGCACAGACACATAGGTAACAGGTAACATGGACAGTCTGAGCATGTCTCCAAATGGCTAAAGGAGATAGAAAGTGCCTGAAGGGGATGAAGAATGGACAAGTGACACAGAGTAGCCATGCGGTCACAGAAGTCTGGGGACCCTGGCAACCAATCTCAGGGTCAGACAAGGCCCACAGAAGCCTCGGGCAGGAGCAGAGATCATCTCAGAGTGGTGACCTGTGGTACCTAGAGCCAAGCCCGGTGGCAGGAGGGGAGAGCATGCTGTGAGTAGGAGCCCTGCAAGCAGCATCACTTGCAGAGGGCTTCTGTGGAAATTCTCAATGACTCAGGAGGGACTTCAGAGTGGTAGGCCATCTGGGATCCAGGTTGTTCCAGGTTTATGTAACCAGAAAACATAACTTATAAAGATAGGAAAGATTCCTCCCCCCTAGGTGAATGCCTATTTAGTGGAAGTCCATACAGGAACATGTAGGAGGGATACACTCTGAGAAAGCTCCACAGAGCCCTAAAGCCACTCTGTCCCTGGCCCGCATAGGGACAGAACAAAGCACAAGAGGAGGTGACTGCACAACTGGCTGGATCCTGTGGTCTGAAAGCTGAGCCAATTCTGTCCTCACCTAACCCAAGGCTAGCCTTGAGAATTTGATGAACTTGACAGTCTTAAGAATCAAGCCACCATCCATGACTAATTGGAAACCGGTTTGATTTGAGGCTAATTTTGTAGGTCTGGATCCTCCCTAAATGGATCCCAGAAACTGATTTGGTCTGGGTGCCAAGAGTCGTAGTTGGGAAAGGCCAAATCTTTGTGTATCCACCCACAGCTCAGCCTAGCACAGTGGGGAAAGTTCACAAGTGTCCCAGAGAAGAGTGGGGTGGCTCCAGCCAGCAGGAGTCTGGGCGTGCACCTGGGGCTGGGGTGAGGGCAGAGCTGGCTTTGTTGGCACAGCAGTCGTGCCAGCTGAAGTCATTGGCTCTTATTCAGAGCCCCATGTCTGACCACATTACCAGTAACCACACAGTACTTGGATAGAGAAAATCAACCTCAAATTTCCTTTTGGGCAATGGCATATGTCAGTTAAGAGTACGAGTTTAGGCGTCACACCCTTCTGAACTCTAATCCAGACTTTCCTGATTTGCGACTTGAGCAAATTAGTCACTGTGTCTACATCTTGACTATTGGCACGTGAATATTATTTACTCCCTTCTTCATAACTGCAGAAGTCAAAGAAAATTAAATGTGGCAATAGTTTCTTTTCCTTCATCTCTAAAACTTTAAGGAGGCTCCTTAAGTCTTGGCCTGGCACATAGTATAGCTCTTCAATGTGTTGTGTGAATCAGTAAAGGAGGATAAGAGAATATGCATAAATGAAGAAGGAACGAACTAACGAACACACAATTCTAGGAATTGAGTGTAATTCTAGTTTAATTAAAACGTAATTATCCATAATTGACTAATTATTTAAAATTATTCTTTTTTATGTAGTCTGCTGATTCTTATTTTATTTATTTATTTATTTATTTATTTAATTTATTTATTTGTTGTTATTTTTTAGGTGTCTTTATTTTTTTTTTAATTCTTTTTTTCAACGTTTTTTATTTATTTTGGGGACAGAGAGAGACAGAGCATGAACGGTGGAGGGGCAGAGAGAGAGGGAGACACAGAATCGGAAACAGGCTCCAGGCCCTGAGCCATCAGCCCAGAGCCTGATGCGGGGTCGAACTCACAGACCGCGATATCGTGACCTGGCTGAAGTCGGACGCTTAACCGACTGCGCCACCCAGGCGCCCCGAGGGTGTCTTTATTTTTGAGAGGGAGAGAGAGAACATGAGCAGGGGAAGGGCAGAGAGAAAGAGAGAGGGAGAGAGAGAATCCCAAGCCGGGTCCACACTGTCAGTACAGAGCCAACTCCAGGGCTGGATCCCATGAAATCATGATCTGAACTAAAGGTGCTTGACCTAAGAAGCTACCCAGGTAGCTGAGCTACCCCGGTGCCCCTGATTGTTATGTAAAATAAGGTAGAGAATGACCTACTTCCAGCTTTGGTTTATAGAATCAGTCACTTGCAATTCAAAAGAATCAACTTTATTTTTAGACCTCGTTTTGTGTCCTTGTCATCCCAGCATATGACTATGGTGAAGGCTTTTTACAATTGGTCCTTCAAGTCTACTGGATCTTGAAATGAGATGCAAAGACCTGCGCAAGGAAGTCCAAGTTGGGGCATATTTATAGGTAGTGTTTAATTGGCCTCTTGGCCGTCCCATTATGTATTAGCTCACTCTATCCAGGAAATAGTTCACAGCAATTTATAAGCTTCCTGTAGAACCTGGTCCCCAAACTTGAGCCGTCGTGAAAATCCCCAAGTTGCTTATTAGGAATAAAGTCCTGGGCCCAACCTCACACGTACTCAGTCGGAATCTCTGAGATGAGTCCAGAGGAGTTGTATCTTTAGCAAGCTCTCCAGGTGATTCTGATGATGAATCAGGTGTTGGAACTGTGATCCTAAAAGAATAATTTAGATTGTCCCTAAATGTGCTATCTTGCCCTTGTCCCCATAGAGATACATCTACAATATTTTCCTGCCAACTCCAGCAGTGGGGAGAGAACTTTTTTTTTTTTTTTTTTGGTGTAATTCCTTTGGAAATACTGTGTTTATCACCCTGCATTCTCTACTCCATGTTATAAAAGACTCTGGTGGGAAGAAACCCCACTCACAGACTTCTCTCCCTTGAGATGAGTCCAGTTATCCCTGATCTTTGTTAAAACTCTAAGTCCTCTGTTCTTTTCTTTTTTTTAATTTTTTTAATGTTTATTTATTTTTGACAGAGAGACACACACACACACACACAGCATGAGTAGGGGAGGGGCCGAGAGAGAGGGAGACACAGAATCCGAAGCAGGCTCCAGCTCTGAGCTGTCAGCACAGAGTCCGACGTGGGGCTCGAGCTCACAGACTGCGAGATCATGACCTGAGCAGAAATCGGACATTCAGCCGACTGAGCCACCCAGGTGCCCTTGATTTTTTTCATTTTTTAATGTTTGTTTATTTTTGAGAGAGAGAGAGAGCAGGAGTGGGGAGGGACAGAGAGAGAGGGAGACACAGAATCTGAAGCAGGCTCCAGGCTCCAAGCTGTCAGCACAGAGCCTGACTCAGGGCTTGAATCCACAAACTGGGAGATCATGACCTGAGCTGAAGTGGGACGCTTTACCGACTGAGCCACCCAGGCTCCCCCATTCCCTATGTTTGTAATCCTCTGGCCTCATCCAGGCTGTTTTCTTCCCAGGGAAACCTCCTGGATTGACAAATATAATCGAAACTCTGATCTTTGAGCGGAGACAACATCAATTTCAGAAATGCTATTGCCCTTCTGTTCAGCATCCATCACTGGTCTCAGTGGTCATCAGCATTGTCAGTAGCAATGAGGGAGGCAGGAGTGGGGGTTTAGTGTTCACCATGGTAGTGATCTGACAGCACCGGGGCATTTTTGGCCACTAGTCAGATTCCAGTTGGTGACTTACCTGACAAATACAGTTAACACTTGACAATCATTCTCACTGGCATTTACTGTGCTCAGCTGACAAGCCATGCAACTGGCAGTCGGTGTAGATTTGTTCTTGTGACCAGTCATCAGGAAAGCCCTCCCAAATATTAAATTACACAGACATTCTGTTCTTATGCAGCTACTAAATACACAGAGTACCCTGGGCAGTGTGGTATAAGTTTTGGCAAGCTTAAGTTCCTTGACAATAGTCAATCCATTTCCAGCAGCATAAAATAAGTTACGACTTCTCTTGGAAAGTTTTTAAAACCTTAGGCAGAAAAAATGGTAAAACTAAACTCAGGTGTTTTATGGAAAATTTTACAGCAGGGAGAGAAGAAATTGGAGGCCTTGAGGTGAGGTTGCTGGGTAAAAGCCAGGTGAGAGCATGGGAAGGTGAAATCTATTTATATAGCCGGTGGTTTCCTTCCCCCCAATAGAAATGGGTTGATGGCACCTACGTAGATTCAGGGGATACAAATATCAGGAAGCCTTAGTTCTTTCCTGAAGTTGGGTTCCCAGAAACAGACGCTGGGACAGGGATTTATGTGCAAATATTTTATTAAGGAAGTGTTCCAGGAGAAACTGGTAAAGTAGTGGAAGAAGAGACAAGTAAGAATGTGATTTTTGGCAAAGTGTTAACCTCAACCTGATGCTGCCAGGGAGCTTGGGAGTGCAAACTTCACCTCAGTGTCCTAACTCTTGGCGAGGGAGAAAAGGCTCAGACTCAGCCTTCACCATTGGCTCAGGACTGCTTGGGGAGAGTGGGGGTGGGGAGTAAATTCCAGGCACTTTGGGGTCTTTGCTGGGACAGGCAAAAGGGCTCAAAGGCAATCCTCTGCAGAGAATGGCCAATGCAGGTCATTAGAAGAACATGCAAACACCTGTTGAGGCTTCAAAGGCATCCACAGGGATTTAAACAGACCACAAATAGTATCTGCTCTAGTTCTGTTTTCCACTCTGCCAATGACCATCCTAAAGGAAAAACTCTGTACGCATCTGCCCAGTCTGAAAAATGGAATATTGTAAAGCGGATTTTCTAGGCAGGGACAGAGTGATTTATTCATTTACACATTATTTATTGAGCACCTACCATATCTGCCACTCCCTGAACTTAATGCTGGGATTTGAAGAACGGTCCTTTCCCTTGAATGTGGTAAGAGTTTTGTTACTGACTTATGTATAAAATGCTATGGGAATGGACCCCAGAGCAAAGTTGGTGAACCCACGGGCCACGAGGGCTACCAAACCTGGACGTATAAACCATTAGGAAAATATAACCGACTCCATAACAGATTAAATCAATTAATACTTATTCAATGACTGAAGATACAATACTTTTAAAATCACAGCATAAGCAAGTGCATGAGAAAGAATAACTTTCAATGCTCCGCACCAAATTATGGTATCTGCAATGCATCTGAAGCTAATTTTTAAACTGTTTTTAATGTTTATTTATTATTGACAGAGAGAGAGAGAGACAGAGCATGAGTGGGGGAGGGGCAGAGAGAGAGGGAGACACAGAATTCGAAGCAGGCTCCAGGCTGTCAGCACAGCCGAGCTGTCAGCACAGAGCCTGATGCGGGGCTCGAACTCACGGACTGCGAGATCATGACCTGAACCAAAGTCAGACGCTCAACCGACTGAGCCACCCAGGCGCCCCAACTAATTTTATAATCAAGACCAAGAAGATCCTAAGGTTTGATGCCGGCTCTCATACTTGACCCCCATGAGGGCCATGGAAGAGCTGGCCCAGCTACCTAACTTGTGTCTCGGTCCCCTACAGAGGGCAGCTGAATGGGGAGCCAGGCCTGGAACAAGAGCAGAAATGAGAACCTCATGAATCAGGAGTCAGTTGTAAGTGGGGGAGGTGGAATACCTTTTCCCCCTTGCTTCACATTCTCTAATCAGAAATCCTTGAGCTGCCTTGTTTTCTACTATAAGTTCACATATTCTAACAATCAGTGACTTTCAAACATTATAACTTCTGGCAACAGATTCTGAATCATCCAGTTTCTACAGGAGGAAGACACCTCAAAGGATCTAGCTGAGCAGTGAATGGTTAACATATCAATGACTAGTTGGAACTGAGCTTGTGGATGAAAGATGAGCTTGTCAAAGCCCTTTTGTGACATGGGTCACAAGAGCAGCTGGAGGAAAGCAGAAAATACAGATTTAGATTCTGGAACATGACTCCAGTAGTCTGAGCTCAAGGGCAGGGTTTGAGGCTCATTCAGCTCTAGATTCTCATTTTAGGGCCTAGAACAGTGCATTGCATACGGCAGCTTTTCACATGTGTGGGCAGAATGGAATGGAGCTGAACAGGTCGGTGAGTCATTGTACACCTCTAAGGGATGCTTTTTTACCAACCACATAAAATCTAATTCCTTAGCTCGATCAGATTTCCATCCACTGGCTTCAACTTGGTTATCTAGTTTTTTTCTTCCAAGGCTCTTCAAAAAGCATAAAGCAAGGTACATGTTGTGAGCTGAAATATTTTTGTATAGTAAATGCAAATTTTAGTTGATACTTGACATATATTACTGACTTTGAATAATATCTTTAAAATTGAAGTTTTCTGGGGTTTTTTTTAAGGTTATTTATTTTGAGAGAGAGAGAGAAGAAGAGAATGAGTGGGAAGGGGCAGAGAGAGAGGGGAAAAAAAGAGAATCCCAGTCTCCAGGCTGTCAGCACAGAGCCTGATGTAGGGATTGAACTCATGAACCGAGAGACCATGACCTGAGCCAAAACCAAGAGTTGAACAGTTAACCAAATTGCGTTCTGAGTCAGGGACTGTGGGAGGAAATGAGATACTCTCTTAGTTCTATAGTTCCTCTGGCTTTACTCTGAACAGTAAGTCCTTGTAAGGTCTAAGACTAGGCCTCTGAGGGGAATCATTTCTTCAGGACTGTGTGTGAGGTGAGCCTTTCCCTCCCTTTCCTTTTGCATTTCCTCATCCTGCTCCTCCCTCCCCTCCTGTCTCTGGAAGCCTTACCTTATGGCATATGGTGGTGACAACTCCTTGTCATTAGTAAAGAGTTTGCCTTCGGGGTTCACAGGATGAACTGTGTTTTGCTTCCAGCCACAGGGGATCAAGAATCTGCTGCCTTCAGATAGAAAGGATCTGAGAGTCCTAACGTCCCAATGTCCCAACGTAAGTTATCACCTCCTGAGCACTATGGCTGTGCAGCCTGGAGGAAGTCATTCCTACTAATGCTGATGTGGCTTCTCGCACCAGAGATCCTTTCACCCTTGCCCCACTTCCCTGCTACACACATAAACTCAACTGGTGACTCTTCCACACGTGGGCCTGCAAGGGGCTGGCTAAGCCACAGGAGTGCGACTGGCTTGCTCTGGCTTATGGACATCTGACAGTGGATCCTTTGACGTTTATCAGTTGCAGATCTTCTGGGAGTTAGGGTTTAAGGCAGATGTGATTATTTTCTCTGCAGAGCATGTCCTCTGGTGGCTGAAGCAACAGCTCAGTACTTACAAAACCTCAAGAGCATCTAATACAAACTTTGACCTGGTGACTCAATTATCTGTATGGTGAGCAGGCCAAATGTCAGCATGCACACTGCTAGGGCTTGGAAGCTCATGAACTGTGGGCCATTTGTGAACAGTTGTAATTATTAGAAGACTTTATGTTGGGGGCGCCTGGGCGGCTCAGTCGGTTAAGCATCCAATACTGGGTTTTGGCTCAGGTCATGATCTCACCGTTCATGTGTTCGAACCCCACAACGGACTCTGCACTGACAGTGCAGAGTTTGCTTGATATTTTCTCTCTCTCTCTCTCTCTCTCTCTCTCTCTCCCTCCGCCTCTCCCTGCACTCTCTTCCTCTCTCTCTCTCTCTCTCAAAATAAGCAAGTAAACATGAAAAACAAAGAAGACTTTATGTTAAATGGAAAGAATGTTCATTAGTAAAGGTCTTAGGTCTAGCTAGTAAGGAGAACTCTTTAGCCACATACTAAGCAAAAACAAAACAAAACAAAAAACAAAACAAATGAACCCACACACGTACACATACACATGCACATGCACGGGCACACATGCAATCCACTCAAAGAATGGACCAACCAGTTTGACTTGATTTATAAGCTCTTCAAGGCCAGGTGCACCCCTGTTTACATCTCCATCATCATTGCCCTGTGCATCCCGTCTCTGCCTCTCTTCTGAAGTCATTGATTTCTCTTGATACCCCACACAGGCTATATTTCTCACCTCTCTTGAATCTTTTCACACATTCTGTCCTTCTGTTCTCTGGCCTAACATGTGCCCACCACCCACCTCTATCCCCCATTCCTTCCACCTGGTTAACTTCCACTCATCTTTGTGATGTCGGTACAGATGCCACTTCCTTCAGGAAGCTGTTATCCCATTCACTCTGAGTTCTAGATCCTTTCTACTTAGGCAGATGCTCACTTGTCTGTTTCTCCCAAGAAACCGTAAACTCCCTCAGGATAGTGACTTTCCTTTTTGCCACTAAATCCCAAAGGCCTAGCACGAATGTCTGGAGTATCTGTTGTTTAACATGTAATTACTGAGTAGGTGTTGAACAGAGTTGTGATGGGTGTTACATTTTTGTGTCTTTGGGCTGTAAGTAGCAGAAACCACAAACAGCAGCAGCTTTATTAAGAACATCTCATTAAGTTTGGAACAAGGTGTCTGGAGCGAGCAGTCCCAGGCTTAGTGCCATGGCTCAGTGGTATCATAAGCATCTAAGCTCTTCTGCTCTTTGCTCTGCCATCATTGGCATGGTGATTTTCATTCTCCTTATGATCGAAAGATGGCTGCCATACTCCAAGCATCACATCTTCACCTATCGCTTTCAAAGGAAGGGAGTAAAAGATAGAAAATAAGCTATTTTCTCTTTTTCATCAATAGGTTCATCTTTTCCAGAAGACCTCTGTCCCTAGTTGTCTTTCTTTTGCACGTTACTGTTGAGAACTGGGTCACATGCCCACTCTTAGGTAAATCGTGACTCATCCTGGTGCTTTCAGCTGAAGTCAGACTGCCCAGACAAAGGAGCTATTCTTTTAGCAGAAATATGAGTGAATAGTGGATGGATAAGAAGTAAGTGACAGCTGCTCCTCAAGTCTTTAATTACGTTTTACTAAAACCCAGGACAACTTTCTCCAAATCTGAGCTCTACCTCAGATTGGTAACACTTAAAATGCCACATTTGTGATCACATATTTCTCTTTAGTGTGGGCACTTCAGCAGCCTCTCTGGCATGCAAAGCTGTAATTGTTTGTTTCCATCAACCACTTCCTCCTGGGCCAGAGAGCACGTTGGATTCTCCTAAACTTCAAGGCAGCACTGGTTTCCTTGAAGGCAACCAATGACTCTCTTAGGCAGAAGAGAGAGTCAAGTGTCATCTTCTGTAGTCTTCACTCCTGGTAAGTTTTCTTCCATAGCCAAAGTGGCAAGGATTTTTCTCAGTGGACTAGATGCAATAAAAAGAAAAAAAAAAAAAGATAAAATTCTTTCTTATGAACAACTTAAACTTTGAGTGGATCCCAGTGCACCTATTTTTTGATAAAAAATATCAAGTTCAGTGGTAATTATACAATTGTGGAAATTTAGATGATATCCCCAATAATCAGCCTTTCTAGCTCCTCCTGCATTCTATGCTTATCTGAAAACTTTTTACAAACTAAAAAAAGAAAATGAAAGGAGTCAAATTATTATTAGAAACTTCTTTTTTCTTCATTAGAGTTACAATAATGGTGACGATGATTATCTTTTATTGAGTGTGACAGGTGCTATTGTTGATATTTTACAAATATCTTAGATCGTCATATCAACTATTAATTATTGACACTTTATATATTAGAAACCTAAATTCAGATTTTAAGTAATCTGCTCAGGCTCATCAGTAGAGCAGGTACTAGAGTTCAAGTTTTCCTGATTCCAAAATGATTGCTACATTCTCCATCATGAACCAACTCCTCTTCCTTAGATTCTCATTGTCACCCCAACATATCCATATCCCGAAGTTCCACAGGGTTTTTATTCATCTCTAACTAGTTAATCTTTTTGCCTTGGGGTTTTAGTGAAGTGGCCATTCTCATTCATTGGCTGAGATACTTACAGGCAGTGCACGAAATTATTAATCTTTCTGGTTCAACAACTTAAGTCTAGAGCCTATCACATCTCACATCAGCAAATAAACACCAGGGAGGGGGAAAAAAAAAAGAAACACATTAAGCGGATAGATGAATGGGCCAATCCTGTGGCTGAGGAGAGTATTTCCTCTCTTTTCTTTGTTAGCCTAATAGGTGAGGATTGTGGTAAGAGGTTTTAAAAGCACCTGAGAAAGCAGTGACAAGTAGTGACTGCTCTGAGTTCACATAAGTCTCAAGCAGCTTTGACTTTTCCCTAAAGAGTCAGGAGGGACCCTAACAAGTCTGGTTTAGATGGAGGAGAAGAGTAAGAAGGACCACCGGGCTCTGCTCAACCAAGGAGAGGAGAATGAACTGGTGAGTCTTCCCTTTTTTCGAGTACGGACTTCTCAAAGTATCTGAGGCTATGGGTAGGTGCAACTGTAGTGGTACTGGCTTTAGGAACTGCAGAGATTTAATTATTGTAAGGCTCCTTGAGATCCAAGGGCACAATTTTATAGTTGGGGAATGGGCTGAGAAGACTGTCTTCTAGATGATGGAGTTCTTGCCAACCCCATATGCATCAGACAGAATGAACTTTCCTTCTTAGACATTTTGTGGAGTATTCCGTGTATATCCCACATCGTGCTCAGGAAGGGGTCTCCCCCTCATCATCTGGGTCTCCATCTACTTGGACAAACTCAAGCAAAACCTGAAAGTTTTTTGTTAATTCTTATGTTTTTGGTATATCTGTATTACTGAAGCTTAGTGTGCTTTGGGTTGAAGTTATGCTAAAAGTATAGAGGTTTTAAGCACCAAGTACTAAAAAAAAGAACATTGTGGCCTGGTATTAAGTATATATATATATATATATTTTTTTAAAAGTTTTCACTTCTCCAGTTCTCTTTCCCTACTGCCTCTTCTACCAAACATATAGCCATCTTGAAAAATAATCATTAAAAGCTTAGAAACTGCAGGGTCTGTTTGGGACTGACAAGTTTACATTTGTTATTTTAATTGACGCTTAGAATTCAATGATGAAGGACTTAATCCTATTTCATAGAAAGAAATCTGAGATCGAAGAGGTTAAGTAACTTGTAAAAGGTCTTCTTCAGTCTACAAGGGACAGGCTGGAAATCGAGCCCCCTTCTTCCCCCTTCACACTCCATGCTATTCACACTGCAATAGTGTCTGCAGGTAGGCAATGAGAAAGGGAGAGAAGGAGAATGGGGGCCCAGACAGAGATGGAACACTGGAGACGGAAAGGGCCCATGAGATGTGGGTCACATAGCAGAAGGGTGTCAGTTTCCTGCTTGGTCTTCCAGTTCCCCATGAGATCTGTGGGAAATCCACACCCACCCTCTCTCCACACCCTTCTTTGTTAACCTAATAAAAATAAGTGATTTCACGTACACCGACACTGTTCAAGAAGGCAGTCCCTGGTCATACATGGTTCTTGAATACTAGCAAAATAGTGGGACCAAAGTGGAATGTGCTCTATGCGTAACATACACACCAGATTTTGAAGATAGTGAAAGAAAAATAGCTCATTAATAATTTTTATATCGGTTACACTTTGAAATGATAGTTTGGATATGTTGGGTTACATAACATATGTTATAAAAATTGATTTCATCTGCTTTTTACTTCTTTAATGCGTCCACTAGGAAATTTCAATTACAAACATGGTTCACATCAGCGACTTCTATTATCATACCACACTGATCTGGACAATGGTATAATGCTTCAAATCTTGAAGGGATTCAAAGAACTAAAACCTGCTTACCTGTATTCACTACTAAACAGCTCTGTGCCAGTTTTGATGTTTTTTTTTTTTTCCCAACATGTAGATGACTGTTCATGAAAATCTTTGGCCGCTCTTTATTTTTTCTCTAACTCTGTGATGTATTTATAAAGTCTGTAGCCTAGTATTTTAATTTTCTGAATCACATGGGGGGCATAGGTCTCTCTCCTTAGCCAGGCATGTAATGAGGCACACAGTGTGCATGTCAGCCGTTGTTTCAGGGTTCTCTTAGGCCATTCGTGCTGCATTTGCTTTCTAAAGGTGGTCTTGATTCTGCCTCTGAGACACAAGAGATGCTTTGTTCACATGAGTTGCAAAGCCAATCTTTCCACTGGTGCTCTCCCCCTCTTTACTGATGCCTGCCAACTAAATGTCAACATTACAACTGGGAGCAGCTCCAGGGGAGGAAAGGGCTACTTGGTGTGGAAGATACAGTTTTGACAGGAGAGCTCTTCACTTCACATTAATTTGTTTTCTGCGAAACAGTGAAGGATTCCTGTACTCTAAGACCACAGATCTGGGCTTTAGTCGAGGACCTGCTGTTAACCACGAGTGTGGACACCTTTTGGGGCCTTGCTAGTTGCCTGAAAACAATATCACGTTAACCCCTCTGATTTGAAAGTTTTGCGAGTGCCATATATAAAATGTGGAAAGTGCTGTGAAAATATAAGGAGTTCATTTACATCCAAGGAGGCAGGACTTACTATGGGAAATTTGCAAATAGTAAGTGAAATTAGTATTGGAAATATCCTCCCTTTGTCTGATTAAACTTGGGGAGTGATAATTGAGAGCTACCATTACGAAACCAAACAGTATGTGATGAATTAGTAAGAAAAATCAGGAACTTGGAATGTCTGAATTATTTTAATATATTTTTAAAGTTTATTTATTTATTTTGAGAGAAAGAGAAAGCATGAGTGGGGGGAGGGACAGAGAAAGAAGGAGAGAGAGAATCCCAAGCAGGCTCCACACCAGTGTGGAGCTCAATGCAGGGCTCAAACCCATGAACCATGAGATCATGACCTGAGCAAAAGTTGGATGCTTAACCAACTGAGCCACCCAGGTGCCCCTGAATTATTTTAAACAACAGCATGTACTCCTCATCTTTAATTTAAAGACACACACACACACAAACCCTACTGAAAGGATTAAAATTGAAAATCAAAAATCACGCCCTATTGGCCTCTTTCCTGTCTTTTGTCAAAACTTATAACAGCTTGGATGAAGGCAAGCTTATCTAATCTGTGACTGATGCCCCACTATGAGGGAAAGGTAACAATATAGGCGACAGAACCAAGATTCAAAAAGTTTTCTAGACTTGATTGTAAGAGAGAAATTGACAACGTGGTGTAACAGGCCTTGGTATTGAGTTTGTGTTTAAAGTTACTCTCAAACTACAAGGTGGGGATATCAATGACCTGGGCTTCGTAGCTATGTGTGAAAAAGTAATTAAAGTGCTTTATTTGGTCATGGCTGAATTTTTGGTTACCACTATGATATAGCTATAAAAAATTAGTACTTGGATGTCTCACTAGAAGCCCATTCAGCATAATAGAAGAAATAACAGTTCTATTATAATCTATAATATTTAGGAAACTTCTAGGGAGTTATATTTAATTCTAAGAATCAAACAAGAAGTATAGTGTATTTAGAAAGGTATCTGCATTTCACAAACAAGAATCATTTAAAATGGTGTAGCCACTCTGGAGAACAGTATGGAGGCTCCTCAAAAAATTTAAAATAGAGCTACCCTACAATGCAGCAATTGCACTACTAGGTATTTATCCAAGGGATACAAAAAGGCTGATTTTAAGGGGCACATGCGCCCCAGTGTTTATAGCATCACTAACAAAAATAGCTAAAATTATGGAAAGAGCACAAATATCCATCAACTGATGAATGGATAAAGAAGATGTAGTATACACACACACACACACACGCGTGGGCGCGCACACACACACAATGGAGTATCACTGAGTGATCACAAAGAATGAAATCTTGCCATCTGCAATAATGTGGATGGAACTAGAATGTATTATGCTAAGCAAAATAAGTCAGTCAGAGAAAGATAAATACAGTATGATTCCACTCATATGTAGAATTTAAGAAACAAAACAGATGAGCACAGGGGAAGGGAAGGAAAAATAAGATAAAAACAGAGAGGGAGGCAAACCATAAGAGACTCTTAAATACAGAGAACAAACTGAGGATTGCTGGAGGGGTGTTGGATGGGGGGATGGGCTAAATGGGTGATGGGCATTAGGAATGGCACTTTTGTTGGGATGAGTGCTGGGTGTAAGTGATGAATCACCAAATTCTACTCCTGAAACCATTGTTACACTATATGTTAACTAACTTGGATTTAAATTAAAAAAAAAATAGAATAGTTTAAAAGATATTGGGAATAGTTACCCAAAGAATAATCAAGGCACTTGTCTTCCAATAGTTGAGAGGCTGATGTGGAGAACAGAGTATGAGTTGGCAGAATCCAGCCTGATTTATTTTCATCACAGGACAATTTCCTAACCAACTGTGGTGGCAGAATCTTAACATGATACCTCTCCATTGACTCTTCCCCTTGTATAATTGCCTTCAGTTGAGTGTGGTGGAACCCATAAATATGATGAGCTGTAACTCCTGTGACTATGTTATGTTGTGTGGCAAAATGGATTTTACAGATGTAATCAACATAGACTCAGCTGAGTTAATCAAAAGGGAGAGTGCCTAGGTGAGCCTGACCTGATCAGGTGAGCACAGAAAAGAGCTTGCGTTCTTTCTGGAGTTATGGATATTCAGAGCATGTTAGGGGCTTGATGCAAGGGAGCTTCTTCCATTGCATCTTTGAAGATGGAAAGCTCTGTGTGGTAAGAGCTCTGTGTCTAAGAACTGAGAACTGAGAGCAACTTCTAGTTGACAACCAGCAAGAGAAGGGGGGGTGGTCTCTCTCTCTCTCGGTGCTAGAAGAAACAACTGAATCCTGCCAATAACCGTGTGATCTGGAAAGAGGTCCTTGATCTCTGAAAGGAACACAGCCCAGAGGACACCTTGATCTTTTTATGAGACACTGAGCAGAGGATCCACAGTCAGACCCCTAACCCACGGAAACTGCGAGATAATGGATTTGTGTTGTTTTAAACCACTAAGTTTGTTATGTGGCAATAAAAACTAATACACCACAGCTATCCAACAAGGGAAGGTATAGCCCTATAAATTAGTGAGCAGCCTAACTTTGGTAGCCTCTGGATGCTCATTGTGAAGGATGGTCTATAGCTATTTTTTTCAGGAAAGGAATTTGAACCGTATCATTTCTGAGATACCCCTCTTGTATTACTGATGCCCTCATTTCAGGAATAAAATTTAACAGAACATGCCATGTTGTCCCATGTCCTGGTCTAAGGCAAATTCTGGCTCTCGAAATGGCCTCTGCTGATTAGCCCATGCATCTCATTACTTTTTGACCCACGCTTTCTGCTTTTTTGCTGTTAGCTGCATCAAACAAAAGTCCTTACTTGCACTTTTACTTCCAGGAAGTAGCACTTTTGTTAGAGTAGTTAACTTTATGGGAATGTCTGGA